GGTTAGATGCCCCCCTCTCCTTCCCTGAAATATTTCATTCTAGTACCTCCAATCGTCGCGCGCCTCCAATTAACACGAGATCAAGTTTTCTCTTCGACTGTTTTATTCTGGCTGAAGAAGTGATGCGAACAACAAAAATCTTTATATCTAACCTTGGGTGGAATTGCGGAAGGGAAGAAGGGGAGAACGGGGCGGAGGAAAAAATAACTTTGACGGATTTCAGATCAAACAGCATGCCATCGATCAATTTCTGCATGCATGAGCCCCTCCACTAGGAAAGGGACGAAAAAAAAAAAAAAAAAAAAAAAGAAAGCAATAGGAAGAGAGGGGGAGGGAATTTGTAAAGCCAGCGTAAGCGTTACAAAGTACCCTGTAAAGTAAAGGCACGCGACTAAGAAGCATGCCAATTGCATTCCGCAGTACAAAGCATATAGTTGTATCTTGTCTCATGATGTGTTGGAAAGAAAAAAAGATAAGTCAAAAAAGATAATACAACCAATTACACACATTGTGGTGTTTTGGGATGGGATGGGATGCGGATGTCTTTTCTACAGCTTTTTTGAAGTTACATTCTCTCAGCTAGCTAGCTAGCTAGCTTCACTATACTGTTGTGCATGAGACTATTCTAAAATGAGTTCAACCCCTCCCTAATGTAGTGAGTGGGCCTATCGGTTATAGTCCAGCGGCACTCTCCAGTGACTCCCAGCCCCAGCTCAGCTCGCCTTGCCCCGTAGTTGGCTTGCTCTTCTTTGATTTACGGAGCATTTCTCGGCGCGTAGCATGCCGTAATTATCGATTCTTTTTTTCTCCGACATGTTGAAGAAACAGCTGCTTGCAGATAAGTTGTGACACCTCACAGACATGTGGCAGACGGTAAAGAAAGAGGACAGGGGTTCTTTTTTTTTTTTTTTTTTTTCCTTCTCCCCCACCACTCACGCAGAACACCCGGCATCATGGCATTTGACGACGGCTTTATTGCCCTTTTTTTTTTCCCCCCCATGATCCTGTTTACCATAATGGTGATACCTCGTATGTTGTATATACTTACGGCTGAGACGGTATCGGTGACCGACGGACAAACCTATCAACACCACATTGTGATTGGCCTTGAATTGTTGGTCCCCTTGCAAGTCTTTTGGGCCACTAGTGTCCATCTAGAGAGAGGTTTTTCTCATTCTCATCTCTTTTCTTTTCCCACACTGTTTTCCTTTTCATCCTCGTTTTTGCCCGTCGGTAATCACAGGCGGATATTTCTGTGCCGTTCGGTAGGGAGTTCCAGCACAGTGAGATAGCAAGGAGTGGGAGCAGGGGTAGAAAAAGAAGGTCGAACGTTACAAAGGTCCTGAGAAGGCAGGGCAGCGTTGCTCGACTTCTTTGGCCTTCTTGACATCGAGACCAGACTCCGTATTCGAAACGAAATAGTGAAATGAGACTGTGAGTAGCACACAGTGGGAGACTAGGGCCCATGCGGAAGTCCTAGAGTTGTCCATAGTCTGACTTTGATGTTGGACCATTCATCGTACTCGGGTTGCATACGAGCCCCTCCGCGGAAATATGGCTCAGAGACTTCTACATGAACATTCTCCTTGGTCTGGCCCATGGGCTTGTCCAACCCGTTGAATTTTCGAGCATAATGAGGCTCCCTTGTCTTGGCCTCTTCACCCAGTTGAATTCTATTTGTCGAAAGGCTCTTGACTTCTTGGCTTTGTCCAAATACCGCGTTGCCGTCCAGTATCAACCGATGATGAAAGAGTCAACCGCATCGACTCTGCATGATTAAGGGTCACTTTCGGTACGCGAATCGATTGGCTTGATCTTGACGCCGCAGCCGTTCCCCCCTTCCTGGCCCCGACAGCATGTGTCCTCTGTCTTTGGCCTGCCCGTGCCGCGGCCCTTTTCCAGCAGTTGCCTGCATATAAACACACCATGCCCATGTATATGTACAAGGCCAGTGGGGCCAGCGTAGGAGAAATTGTATATTGCTGGTCTTGCTGGCTGAACTCTAATTGTGGTGATGTAGTGACCCAAGATCTGCGTGGCCCGAAAGCTTCAAAGCAGCAAAGGAATAGGGGCCCACACACCGCCAGAAGTCTAAACCAGCCTTACCGCTTCGCTATTCCGAGAGAACCTTGTCGGAATTCCTCATTCGTACGCGGCAGATATGGTATGGTTGAGGTGACGAAGAGTGACAGATGTAAGACGGAGGCACACCGCCACAAGCGGTGAAAATTGCAGTCTTTGCTTCATCAGCCGCGTGAAGAAAACGAGGGGGCGGAGTTCAAACACTGCAGGCCGCACGCGGGATGGTCCTCGTGCTACAAACAAATAACTGCCGGTCCCTTTGCTCCCATAGCGAAAGAGAAACAAAATTCCTTTTTCCTCACATCCTTCCTACCTTTACGGGAAGGATTCCCGCTGTCGTTCTCCCTTTAACTGCCCAATCACCAAAGGAGAGCAGCAATAATGTTCCTTCAGCGTCGGCGTAATCAATGATGATTCAAGAGATCCAAGGCCGTTATGTGGTTCATGACGTGGTACGAAATGGTGGGCGACTATCAGTCCTGCAGTGCGACCGGCACAGGCTGCATGCAGCAGAAGGTGAACGATATATCGAAGCGAAGCGCATCTGGACTATGGTCTTCGAGACCAAGCAAACCTTTTCATCCCGCCACCCACACGAGACCATAGCTCACGATAGTTGAGGTTATGTACGGTACCCGCACGAGGAGGAGCCTTTCCCCTGGTACAATGCTACATCAACAGCGAGCGGCCGGTTTGCCTCTCCGACCGAGAGGTCAATCCAAAGCCATGGCCACGTGCCCTTGTGTGGAATATTCTTTTTGATACTACCGTTGAGCTACCCAATGCGTTGGGCAGCATCGATAGCGATCGGGACAATGGTGTGCACGAGAATTGTAGCTCATCGAAAAGCCCTCATCATCGCTACAGCGGGTTGGACAGTACATGGTCATGGGCGTGTATTTTGCCGCCACGGACACTTGTGGTTGACCTCCTTGAATACATGACGCCCGCCACGATGCCCGATCCAAACAGCAGCGTGTGATTTCCTCTTCGTTTGGGCAGGCATGAGATCAGCTGCAGATTTGAGGCCAAGGTCTTTCAGACTTTAATGTCTTCCCAGCCAATCGATAAGACATGTCACTGACGTACGATGCAGTACCTCTCAGTGCAATCGCATCAGTTGAGTATGCTAGGATACGTGGCATCGACCTGATGGGACTTTGATCCTCCATTGAACTTTGGCTCACCAAAATGTTGGAACATGTTCAGAAACCGAGTCTGTATGGTCTATCCGTAGCCAAACATCAAGGCAATGATTTTCTTTTCACTTGCAGGCGTGCCCTTCCAGACGGTCCAGGCTGGAAAGCCGTAATTCTGCCAAGATAATAGATGGAATTTCAGTTCTTGGCAACCTCCGGTCATAAGAATTGGAAAGGACAGCAGGTTTCATGCAAGCATTGCATGTTCCGATGCTCAAAAGTTGATCGACGCGGAAACAGCCCTGACGCTTTGGGTGCGCATCCCGACAGCCTCGATTCGGGTGGTCGTCCCTGGTATCATGGCTCTTGCGCAGGATCTTGGGCGCTTCGGGCAACGTATGGCCTCCAAGAATGAGCAACTGACTGAAAAGAAATGCTTTAGGTGCCAAGAATAAGCTGCTTCACCACGAGCGACGGCTGTGGGGTTCTTTGAGTCAAATCCCTAGGTTTTGTGGGTATCGTCTAACAAGATAGGAAAACATGAGAAGATGCTGCACGGTTTTGACGGAATGGGCAGACATGCAAAACGCAGTCAAGGCTGTTGTTGGTAGACGGTGGTGCTTTGGGGACGAGTCATTGTCCAGTCGAAATCACGATGGTGGAACCTTGAAACAAGGGAGAGCTACATCTCGGGGATTCTGGTGAGGTGGACTTCTGATATCTCCGATTCCCCTGCCCCAACGCCCTTCGGCTCCATCGCGGCGGCCTCGGTCTTGACGGAAACAACGTTAGAGGTGGGTGCAGGACATGACGAAAGAAAGCCCTGCAGGCCAGACGCAGGATCAAAAGTCATGGCGACCGTTTCCCGACGCGCTCATCTTCTCCCTGGAGAATTGATCAACCGGGGAGGAGGGAGGGAGGGAGCAAGCAAGACATTGGATGACGGGACTGCATTGGATCCAGAAGAAGATGATCGAGAAGGGGAGGACTTTTGATCGGCTCAATCCCTGGCCATCAGCCGAAAAAAAAAAAAAAAAAAGAGAAGAGGTCAGTCTGGGCAGTTGTCTACTTTTTTGGGGGGATGTATCGCGATTGAGACCCGAGATAGGTTTAGATGGGTTGGTAGTTGAAGAGTGTCATGACATGTGTAGTTCTGTAGTAGTAGTAGTAGTAGTAGTAGTAGTTCTGGCGGCTGGGATCAATGGGGATAGTAGCAATGGGATGGCCCCTCGATTGAGGCTCAACATGGACATAAAACCGTTGACCCGCATTGGGGCCTGGAGCCTGGGGCCTGGGGCCTGGAGGGGGGCCAGGCAGGGACATCCGAGGGCCCGTGAAGGGTTGGAATTAAGCTTAGCGCTCTAGAGTGGAGCTACTATATCCAGGGCTGGGCAGGGGTCTGAGGCAACAAGCTCAACTCCGATACAAGAACCCGAGACACGAGGAGATGCCATGCGATGCGGCTCTCCCGTTAGCCGCCTGACTGCCACTTCCTGGAAATCTCGCTCTCTTTCTCACCAGCGCAAATCTTCTCGTCCCAAAATCATGTCCTCGGCCGTGGGGATTCTTGTTCGGATCGATCCAGGAACCAGGGTCCTTCTCTCCCTTGGCAGAGTGCCAAAACCAGGTTGCATCAGATCGTATACTGAGCGATTGACCAGGGTAGCCATTGGACCGCCCCGACCTTAATGATCGGCCAGTCAGGGACACTCTGACACAGCCTTCAGACGACAAGTTGCTCTTTTCCACCAACCAATCTCGTCTCCTAGAGTCTTGGCTGTTGCAACTGCCAGCAGGTCTGCTGAACTGACGATGCTGGCGCGCAACCTCAAGCTGAGTGGGTATTGTATGGTGCAAGTTTTAGGAGGTGACAGGAGTCTCCAGGGAACCGACTGTTACCGTCTGTCTGGTCTCCCGCTTGCTGCGCCCATTGCTATGACAGGGGGAGACTGTGCTATGGTTCCTGGATGTGGACTTGGTAATGGAGATTGAACCAGATTAACTTTCTATAAGATCTACGCACATCTTGTCGTTTTCTCATGCCTTTTTGATCTCCATCTGCACCTTCGTTCATCAATCCACGGTTCCGCTTCCCGCCTCTTTCAATATCGAAACAAACAGCTGTGCTGTCTTACATTCCCATTCGTTGCTGGTCATCCTTCGTTTTACAAACATATATACATTCTCTCTTTCAAACTATATTGTCTAAATCAATACAAAAACACACACACAACTTAAGCCAAAATGTACTTCAGCAAGCTCGCCGTCATCCTCTCCGTGGCCACCTCGGCCCTCGCTGCCACTACTGGCACCGAAGCCGCTCAGAAGCAGAAGCGTGCTCTGACCTTCCAGACGTACAACGACTTCCAAATCTCCAGCGGTACCGCCGGAAACGCCCTTGCCGAGGCCCAGGCCGCCTTCCCAGTACGTCGTTCTTGTCTCTCTGCACGTAACGATGGAAAGCTAACCTATCAAACACAGGTCTCCTCCGACCTCGCCAGTGTCTCTGACTCTGACCTGGCCATCATCAAGGCGGCCCGCGAGACGGCCGAGGCCGCCGAGACGGACGCCTTCAACGACGCCGTGGACGCGGCCAGCGGCGACGCCGCCACGGCCCTGCAGAACGGCAAGATCAAGAACAAGGTCCTCAAGCTCTACCTCGAGACCACGGCCCTGCAGATTGAGCAGGCCCAGGGCGACGACAACCAGGACAAGATTGACGCTGAGCAAAAGAAGCTCGACACCAATGTCGCCCTCGACGAGAAGGCTGCCGGCGAGGACAGTACTGCCGTCAGCTTCACTGACGATGTTCAGCCTGACAACTAAAAGAACATCTCCTTCTTGAAGGGATGAAAGGTGGAGGGGAGCGGGGAACCAAGGAAATAGTCGGGTTGTGGTCACAGAACCAGGGAACCCCCAAGGACGGCAATCATGGTCATGAGAGCTACTTGTGGAGAGTTAAAAGATGACTCAATTAGCTGGGATGTAGGGCTTACGAAAACCTTCTGCCCTTGAACAGGACGCCCACGGTGGCGGTGCCTATTATATCTCAAACATTTAATACCCATTACTAACCAAACCTTTCAAATGATTTCTCGCATTTCAAATGATGATGTTTTTAATCTTGATTACCCACGGGGCTGATATTAAACTGTAATAAGTGGTCATGTACTGCAATTATTTGATACGAACCTGTCTCCCACTAGAGCCTAATTCCATGATTAAGGGCACTTCCTACTCACCTATAGGAGTGACGACAAACATGTGCGTAGATTCAAGTGGATCAACTACAAATTGATACGGACCATGTCGGACATAGTCCTGACGATGGAGAATATACACACATAATCTTATACTACCAAAGCATCCAAGTCGACATGGCGTTCTCCATAATACCATCACTCGCATGGATCCATCCTATTTCGTAAAAGTGCCTATTTTATCAAAAAAAAAAAAAAAAAAAAAGGAATCTTGCTCCACCTTGAATGACAGCTTTGGAACCAACTTGAACGCTGCTCAATCGATCGACACTCATTTGCGGGTGAGATCGACCACCACTAGATATGCCTGTAACGCAGCGACTATGGCTGAAGCCTCGGGATCCATTCCACCATGTAGTATGGTGGCAATACCGGAGTAGACGGCTGAGACAGTGAAGAAATAACGATCTGATACTTGTAGATGAGTCCATTTGCAAATCTAATACCCAAGCAGAACTCACACTGCTGTTCGCGTTGAAAACAGCGGCGGGCAATGAGACACAATATCAGCCCCCCCCAGTAAGTAATTGATGGTTTGCCATTGCTAAGGAAATGTCTCAGGCCCATATCAAGCGGTCTGCAGAAAACAAGGCTGAGTTGACGTGAAGCAAAGTAGTGACTCTCAACAACCGGGTGATCGCGGTGAAGGAAAGAGGAATCACTGGTATGCTAGAACAAGGTGGTAGTTTCTAGAAGGTCAATATCCGGCAATCAGGTTGAGACCCGGTCATTGTGGCTCATTGGGCGTTTGTGAATGTCTCGGTTAAGAAGTGAGACCACCAGGGATTTATCCACGGGAACAAACAAACAGATGGAGACAACTCGATCCTCCCCTTTCCCACAGAGCAGACATGAATGTTGAAGTCGGTGAAGTCCTCAATCTAGATCAAAAGCATGATTGATTCCGGCAATTCCAGAGGTGTTAAACCTGCATATGTCAAAAGGTCAGTGCTTGGTCTGGAAAGCTGTACTCTGGCGGGTCTCACCGTAGAAGAAATGCAGTCATGATGTTTACATCGAAAGGGCCACGGACTCAACGAGCGGCCTGGCCTTATTCAGCCTTCACAAACGTCGCTACAAATTCCTGTGATTAGAAGAGCCAACAAATCTGCACATTTTTTGACCATTTGTGGCTTGACAGTACTGGCGTTCCATCATGATTGTCTCTTGTTTTGGTGAGCCTCCCAAGCGCAAGACCAAGAAGAGTACCAAGCCAAAGCAGACACCCTCACGGAAGCCGTCCAAGTTGACCGTCAAGTACTCTTTTACCTCTGATCCGGATCGACCCATGGACCTGCCTCAATACACAATGATGCCCGACGGTACATGGCATTCCAACAAATACCCGAGTTACGTCGGTACGCAAGCCGAGTGGACTGCGGCACAGCGTCTTCAGCAACATCAGGACACGCTGAACAGCACACTGGCTCAGATCAAGAAGACGGAAGAGAGCATGGCCAAGCTACATGGCTCGGTTGGCGATCTGAAGAAGGCACAGGCCGAGCAAGCAAAGGCGCATGATGCCCATGCTCAGAAGCAGAACGAATGTCTTGCCGAAGTCCAAAAGGTATACAATCACCTCGACTCCGCTGCCAAGCAGAGAAATGAGCGCAAGAAGATGCAAGAATGGCAACGCCAGTTGGTGCGCGAGTACGATGAAGGCAGAGAGGCCGAGCGGCAGACCATTACAAACGCCGCCCAGATTCGAAAGGAGGAGGAAACCGCCGCCACCCTTCGAGCCGTCAAGAAGGAGTGGGAAGCCGAGAAGCAGGAAATCTTGAAGCGGCGACAGCAACAGCAGCACGAGGAGGAAGAAGAGGCCCGACGTCAGGCTGCAGAGAGCCACGCAAAAGAGCTTCGGGCGCTTCGAGAAGAGATCAAGACCGAGAGAGAGGTGGCACTCGAGCAACAGCAACAACTCAATGCTCAGCGCAAGGCTGACGAGGAGGCGCTGGAGCGAGCTCTTCAGCGCCGCCGGCGTATCGAGGAGGAAGATCGTCAGAGGCAAGACCGAGTCCGCAGTGAGGCAGAGGACCGATATGAACGTCTCACGGAGCGTGTCCTGCGTCAACGCCACCCCGAGCGTGAGGCATCGACCACGACAGCTACCTCGGCTGGCAGCATGTTTGATCGCGAGCGCCGCCCATACTGGGCAGGGCCAGTTGCGTCCTCACGGCGGGGGCGGCCGGTCCAGTACGTGGAATACTATCCTTACGAGTATATGCCCTGGGTAGAGGAGACTGTGGAGGAGGAGGAAGAATTCCCCTCATACTACGTCCCGAGCCCCGGCCATAAGGGGCGTCGCCGTACGACGTTACGCGGCTCAGGACGACGGGCGTACCACGCATGGGACTATTGATGAGGGCGGTCCTGCTAGAGGCGAGTAGTCATCCGTGGATTGTATTCAACCACATAGTAGGGGGTGGAGTTTGATAGACACTTGGTTGGTGGCTCCATTTGCCGGGAGGGGACAGAAGAGACTAGATGCTTGTCAATTGATTGCGCTACGCGAGTGACAGAAGTTTGAAGACAGTATGGTATGTGGAGGGGACCCAGGCTGAGTTGATCATGGGTGCTGCCGAAGCTTGGATCTGATTGCGTCTGCCTCATTTCCGGTCCTTGAATGGTGGAGCGATCCGGAGAGGGGGCCAGGTGCGAAACCCGGGTATGGGTGGGACTTCAATGTAATTGGGAAATGCTTCAGGTTTCCCTTTGAACTACGAGTTGTTCTGAATGCGATGCAGGTAGTATGAGAGCGTTGGTCCATGTACCACCACGCATGAAAGTAGCCATTGATGATGATTTGAAAGCAATCTTGCACGGAAAATGGAAAATGGGAAAGAATTCCCGGCGGCTGATGGGCGTGTTCAATACCTACACTACGTAGTGTACAAACTAACGTAGCTGCTTCCCGTGCTTGCATTTCAAGCCGTCTGGGCACTTGCATGGCGAAAATGTACAAGTGCTAGCTGCCACACCAACGAAAATGATCAAATTCTCTTCTCTTCTGGAACGAGGGGGGGTCAAAACGTTTGATCCATCTACTAAACTGGCAAGAAAGAAACTTCAACTTGAAAGAAGTCGACGAGATTTGATTATAAACAGCTCGTCGTGTCAAGGGGCTAATATGGTGGATGTTAGTGCCACTTATACACAGTTGCAGCGCTAGCAGTCAGTCTACCTAGTAGTTTGCAGCTGGGCCACGCCATGTAGTCCCCATAAGTTTGATTTGCCATCTTTTTGAGTCTTTTATCCTTTTGTTACGGCGTGCCTACGATATACATAATCCGAGTGAAATTTTAGGCTGTCTCGGCCGTGATGTAGTGTTGGCCAGTCATCAATAGCTTGTGTCGTATTTTGCACTCTCGCGTCTGGCGAGCTGATGGTGAGGATCAGGCAGAACGGCAACGAATGGGCTAAACACCTCCGGTGATATGGGACTTGGGCATGTCGTGAAACGAAGGGGGCATCAATTTGGTTGCAGTGCTACTCTGTACTCTGGCCGGCTGACGGCATGAGCGTTCGCGTGGCTTCTGCTTGCGTGCAACCATGAATTTTATCTTATTTCTTATTCTGTTTTTTAATTCTTATTTGTAGTACGGTGGTACGTAATAGTAAGTAGTTTTTTTCTTCTCCCTGCCTCGCGCGAGAAAAAAAAATGGATGCTTTTTCCTTAGACAGCAGCGCAGGTACAGACGCAGCCAACCGACCCCAAACGGCTATGCAAGGTTGGGTCAAATACTACTCGGCGCGTTCTAGCTTTTGTCGGTCGCCACTTTTTTCTGCAGGAACAAAGCGTGATAGACAGGAACACAAAGATAGAAGGCCAATAGGGGCAGAGAGCCACCCACCCACCCTCTCCTCTCCCCCAGTTCCATTGCGCTATCAAATTCAGGGACCCCCGACTAGAAGATACCCATTTCTGCTCTTTTCCCGGGTGGGTATTAAAGTAGAAGGGCAATAAACAACCGGCAAACATTCGAACATGTATTGTCCAGTGCCATCACGTGTACTACTAGTTAGAGTTGGGCTCAGTCAGGGAATTGGCTTGCTGTCTGTTGCCCTGGCCTGCCCTTACTGCTCTGACAGCGGCATCGTTGAATGGAACAGAGTAGGATTTACACGTGGAACATGAGGAGAGCTGAGACACGTTGTGAACTTTGTGAGCCATCAATTAGCCTTTCGATAGGCGTGTCTCTGTGTGCGGCCCGTTCCCCCCTTCACTGCGCGACCACGATGAAGGTTGTGCGACCAGAAGCGACCTTTTCTATTGTCGCTCGCTCGCACGTATGTAGACGCATGGCCCCTACCTACACCATGCCATGTGCCATGTAGGCTCAACTGTAACCGCCGCCGGCAAATGTATCAGGGCCAAGACCGCTGGCGCACCAAAGGGAGAATGGTTGCCGTTGTGATACCGTGATTATTTATATATCAAACGAACAAGGCGGAATTCTAGATTTTCATACGAGAGAGAGAGAGAGAGCAAACAGCAAGATGCAGCGCCGATGCTAATTTGGTCACCTCCGATAGTTGGGATTCGTGATGGCGCAAATACTAGATGCTAGGCGTAGTAAGTGTAGATCCTCAGCAGCACCGACAGGACAAGGAAATGCCTCCCTCGTTCTCGACCACTGGCAGCTCAGTCTACCATGAGGAGCTTGCGACAAGACCATAATAAGAGCCAAAAAAGATTGCAATGGAGACCTCGCTGGCCATGGCTTGGGCTGACCATGTTGGTCGACTCAAGATCCTGGCTTCGCTATCTTGATGCCCCGGCTGACATTACCTACCTGAGGTAGTACCGGGAGCAGTGTAGATCCACATCTACGGAAGAGAAATACATCGACCTACCTAAGCAATCGGGGCCTAATGTAGGTACCACGGGCGCCCATCTTGTACCGCGCTACTTACTGACTGCAACGCTAAGCCTGGCCCCCCTAGCACATTGCTAGTTCCCTGCTTTCTCTTTCCTTCTTTCGCAGTTTGGGTGGTCGCTTGTCGCTTGCTTGCTCTCGCTTTGCTTTTCGCGATAGAAAAGTGCTGCCATCCCCCGGTTGCGCACACACGATCCCTTCTCTCACCTCCACACTCGCTCCGCGTACTGTCCAGTCACTCTTTTGAACAAAAACATCAATCCTTTGCATTTTTGCATACCACTTTCGTTAAAAACAAATCCAACTGTCGCATTACGCAAAGTCGATTCGATTCATCTTCGAGACCCTTCAAAACTCTAATTAAGAAGAATCCAAAACAAGCCCCCCCAAAAAACACTCAACTCAAAGAGAAGGAATAAAAAGGCCGCATATCTTTGTGTCTCTAACGATCCGCTACTCAATTCGCCAATCGCAAGAATATTCATTACGACCACTTGAAGTAATATCACCTACATCACACAAGTCAAGATGCACGCCCCTTCGTTCCTCGTTCTCGCCGCCGGCGTTCTGTCCGCCTCGGCTCAGTCCTATGTCACCTCGACCACGAGTATCACTGCCTACGTCACCATCACTCAGTGCAACCCGACCAACAGTGAGTACTCATGAATATTTCATAAATAAGAGAACAGAACGAATAAGCTAACATTGATCCACTAGCCGCTTGCCCTCTGTACAGCGCATCCAGCACCTCGAGCTCAACCCCAGTGACCTCGTCTTCTGCCGTTCCCACCACTGAGTCGTCAACCTTCTCATACCCGACTTTCAACACCACCAGCGCTTACTACCCGACTGCTGGATACTCCAACGCCACCAGCTCTGCTGCTTCTTCTACCAAGGCTCACTCTTCCACTGTCGCCACCTCTGTGACTAGCGTCAAGGCCACCACTGCGACCAGCGCAACCAGCAGCTCAACCTCTGCCGCCGCCACCAACGGTGCCGTCTCATCCACTGTCAAGTCCGGCCTTCTCATGGGAGCCGTGGGAGCCGTCGTTGCCCTGCTGGCATAAGCTGGGCGCTTTCGCATGAGTCTTGGGGGCTACTTGCGCACATTGGCGCGCAAAAGTTGAGAGGGGCGTCTAGGCGTTGGCTGGATGTTAGAAATAGGGCGGACATTTGAGATTTCATCGTACCTCGGCAAAAGCAAATGGTCCTCCTGGTCCTCGGAGCAAACGACCATGGACAACCAATACCCGAACCACTTGGTTCATTTCTCTTCATGATACCATAATTATTCTTTCAGGGGACGGATGTTTGGAGACAATACCACACCGCACGTTGGACACGACTACTCATTGGCATCGTCGGATCTATTTTACGACCACTACTGAAGCGATTCTCATTTTTTTTTTTATATATATTGTCTAAAAGATATTTTAGAAGGGTGGCCCACGGACTGGTAGATAAAGTGACCTGTAGTGGAGTCAACCGATTCTTGTTGTATACTTGATGAAGCAACAGTTCTATATAATCGAATAAAGCATCAGCACAAACCAATCAATTAAGATGACTCAATGTTCTGTGTACCTGCAATATGGGTCTGTTGCAACTGGTGACAAGTTTATCAGAGAATTTCTGCCATGATACTCGACTCATTTCAAAAGACCTAGTTTCTTCCTGGATACTACACAATTTGTCCCTAGATTGTAAATGGTTGCATGAGGTCGTCTGGCAGGCCTCATATTTCTCTCACATATTGATTTATCATCTCCATGACTGGTGAAACTCTGTCAATTGAGTCCAACACCTCGATGTCTCATGTTTAGAAGGCCATTAGCATTATTTGCGCAATGATAATGAGCAGCCGTGGAGCAGATTCTCCAACATCCATCCCCACGATTATCTCATGACCATACAACGCCAGATAACCACTCATAAGCTCAAGCAGAACAACGCACTCCATGGCATTCCCTAGCTTTACTGAAGTTATACCGTATTGAAGCATTCGTTGTTTCCGCAGCTCAGGCAAAGCGGACGGTACTTCCAATGCGGCATGCGACTGCACCCGTGGGTAGAGCTGTGGGCGCATACTGCTGTGTCGAAAGTGACGGGAGCAGGCCCATTCATACTGGTGTCTGGATGGTGGACTACCATGTGATCTTCGCCATGGTCCATGTCGCTTCCCGCGGTGATGTGTGGTTCAGACATTCTTGTTCTTCTTCTTCTTCTTCTTCTTTGGAATTTTCCTTTTCAGGTGACTTCAATGACTTGATTTCAAATTTTGGTTTCTCGAGAGTTTTGGGGCAAATCCTGCTGGTGGTGGGATGAACTCCTGATGTATGAAGAGAGTCCAAACGTTATATAATGAAGGAAGGCCTTTGTTCTCTGCCATTGCTTTTCATGGACTTTTTGCAGTTGGAACTCTGTAGATGTTCTCATAGAGGATGAAGAGCTGGAATGGATGAAGAGAATGAGTCCGGAAAGAGCTTTCTTTGGCATCAGAAAATAACGAGGCCAACATATATCCTGTTCGTTTCGTCTGTATGTTTCCGGGCAGATTGGGGTTGCGTCGATTCTTTGAACTGTACATATTTCTCGCCTTCTCTGCGCCGTTGGTCGACTCATTCCCATGCGCTCGCATTCATGATCCAGATTGCCGGGTCACCTCTGTCCATGCCAGGCACACCATGAGCTCTTGCGGCCAACGACAGACAATGCCAAGTGAGTCTCTGCAGCGCCGAAAACGGGTAGACTGGTGTCCATTTCAGAAAACCCACATTGCCCCTTCGAGCACTCCTCGCATAAGCCTCCGATTTCTGCCGTCTTTTCGCACTTGTGTCTGTGCCAGTGAGCGCACCGAGCAGCGGCGAGCATATTTGAGAGGACCAGATCCCAGGTCTGAGCATGATTTTTGAACTCTCCTCCGTCAGTGCTGCTCATCGAGGTCTGTGGCCTGATGCTGGCGGTGATGATGTGGCTGTAGTTGTTGAATACCACGGAGGAATCATCTTGGGATGAGCACGGCTGTTGTGCAGGCATGACTCCAGTGTGGTAAGTTGGGAGTATTTCAAGAGTGATTGCCTTTCCGCGCATATTCGCTCCGGGTGAATATTCGTATACTTGTACATGTATGTTGTGTATGTCCTCTACTATTAATGCGGTCAGGGGGGAGGCTAATATTATAGATGAGAAGAAAGGTATCGAAAATACTTTATGGGTGCCTTTTCATCCAGAGGCGTGGCATTTCGTGTATCCTTTGCCGGGCGCCGACTAGAAATGCTGACAGTTGTGAGCCGAAAAGAACTAATGCTTAGATTTTTGGAATTCATCTTTGGCCGTCGGATGTTGTGAGTACATATTTTTATCTTCATGTGTGGATAGTAACCTCCTCCCCCCTGAGGAAAATTTAGACGTGCCAGCCACGCGGGTTTGCCGTTATCTCGCGACAGCTAGCCCTGGTCGTCAGTCTCGTCAGTTTCATCAGGCAAGCTCAGCCGGTAAGCTTGTATGTTTGCTTGACCGGAAAACTTTGCGAGTCTCCTAGGTTAGTCTCTATCACGACCTCGGTTACATGGGTGGTGGCATGGATAATGGTGATGACAAGGGGGTCCCCAAGTAGATGATGTACAGCAGCTCAACCTGGGTGAATCCTTCAGTGCAGGAAGATTTCTTAATCTCCTGGTCGGCGCGCCAACACTGTACTGCCTCACCGGGATTCGTAATCAAGAAGATCATAGAGATTGGCACCAAGGTTATAGACACAGTGACATGGGTTCAAACCCGTGCGGCTCTCCCATCTGAGAAACTTGAGACGCATACACCCATACCATTCAGAAGACTTTGCACACCGAAGCCGTATCAGGTGCCTACAGAAGCGCGGCATAATAAGGTCAAGACCTTCAGCTGCGTCATCATCCTTCCGAGAGGCCGGGCCCATCGGATTTGATCCCTGGTGGTCCGGGGTGCCCACCGCGGGTGACTTACGGGGCTGGAATGTGGGCGGTCCTTGACACATTTTGTCTGAATTATATGGTTTTCTTTCGGTTGATGGCTTCCATGGCCATTATTACCCCTTAACCATACGCGAAGATCGTGTAGGAGAGCTGATACAACGTTTTTTTTCTTCTTCTTTTTTCTCTTGGACTTGATGTAGGCTCAATCAAATATATCGCTTATTACACATCATCACCAAGAAAAGCTTCGGATGCCGGTTCCGAAGTGTAGGTAATAAGCTTATTGTCTAACGGTATCCCAGCAATTTAGCAACATCTCAAGTCTATCATGAACAATACTTCTACTTTATTGTTTTATTTCCCAACTGATTGATCTCGTCGCGTGTGAGAAGAAGGCAAGAAAGAACGTCAGAATCTCTTTCTTGACCGTCATTTATGACTAACGTCAGAGAAGTTGCTGCGCGATACACAGACTTACTAACACTGAAGCAACCCTGATTGGGGATAAACAGCTTGGCTTTCGAATTGATGCAAATTTCTTGAAGCACATACAACCAGCATGAGAGAACAGGATCTTCAAATGTTTGGTCCATTTTAGGGAAAGGATAACATAGTGCAATATGATAAGACTTTGATTGGTGGTCAGCTCTCATCGCAGAAGTCTTTAGGGAAAGGCTAATTGCTTTTCAATTCATATAGGATACCGGGGCGCGGAGGGATGAGGGTTGTTGAAGACAGGTATTTTCATGGTCTAGGTCATATACACAAGTGGCTTTGAATTGTTTGATTATATCTGGGCTCGCGTAAGCATAGCCACGTCTACAAAATCATCATCGATTTCCGGAATGACAACGTCCTCGTACCCGAATGTCGACATTAACCATTCTTCACTTGGAAGTTGCTCTCATCGGCGAGTCCCAGAAATTGTGCGTTTACCGCGTGGATCTGTTTGCGTTACATCACATCTGGTCGCGTGATGGCCGTGGCGACAACTTGGTTACAGTATAGGCCGCATACGCCAAGATTCACCTTCACAGTGCCAACAGTACTGATTTATATTCTTGAGGTTTGTCCCGCTCCATCGGTATTCTTTAGCCTTGATAGACGATAGATAGCGGTGGTTGGGCGTTGATTCTCACGAAATCACTTTCGACTGGTGTCCCTTCCAAAGTACCATCAAGACTCTTCCAGGAAAGCTTAGGTTCAGTAATTATAATCCTTCCAGAAGTCATGGAAACCTTGAGCTAACCATACATCATGTTCGAGAGAAGCAAGTATGATCAAATAGGTGAACGGCAACAAGAAACCAAAAATTCACGAAGAGCAGGCGCTTAGCCACTTGCACAGCACGTATGAATATCCATCATAGGTTTGATATGGTTTTGTTTGATGGACTAATATAATCGAGTGAAGTTTAGTGCTTGCGCACATGCTAAAGTGATCGCTTGAGAAAAACAAGAGCAAGGCATTCCTTCGTGACGTGATGATACATGAACTTCCCGTAATCTTGAGATGATTCGCTGCCGCTCTCCCTCATTTACCGCACCAATTCCGCTGGCTCCCGGACCTAATTTGTTGAAAAGACATGTCCTTAAAAACACCCGTGTAACTCCTCTTTGGGACTCTTGACCCAGACTGGACTGGAAGACGAAGAGGCATGACAATACCTGCTGGCCGACGATGGCCTCGAGTACAGGATACCTAGCTTCTCCTCTGTAGCAAACGCTTGTGTTCTTTGTAGCGTCTTCGAAATGTCTTGACGCAACTTGACCTTCTCTCCCTAGCATCCTCTTCGTACCATTCAGTAGCCTCGTCCCGGGAAAGATTATACTCCTTGGCATAGGCATCAATCTCATCGTCCTTCTCTTTCTGTTTCTCCTTCTTCTTGGCGTCGACCGCCTTACAATGAGCGTTCCATCGAGAGCGGACAAAGGCCGCTTTATCTTGAGCTTCAAGGGACTTTTTCACCAATGCAAGCCAGTTGAACGATTCGATTGCCTCCTCGGGCACTGAGTTCTCGATGAGATACTCGTGCATTAAGACGTCCCGGCCGGCGAGACCTGGATACTTGAGAGCATTGACCAGTGAAGCGACCCGCCAGATCTTCTGGCGCTCCCGATCCCATCCCTCTCCCTGAGTATCGACGCGGGTGACCTTGACGTTATTGTAGCCTCTTGCCTGGTATGAAGCTGCCACAAAGTAGGCACTTCCCTTTTCGCTCGTCCATGACATGAAGGGGCTCGGATCACGCGACTTCCAGTTGCAGTGCAAGATGAATTGAGCCGCAAAATACGGCGGAGGTGCGCCGTTTTGGCCTCTGGACCTGAGGCCACCATAGGGCTGGCCGTCATGGGTGGCTCGCCACAGGTATCTTGGGAGATTCTCACCCCCAGCAGTTGTAATATCGATGCTGGGGCTGATCATGGCCCGGCCGAATGAGATACCAGAGCTGGGGTACCCGTGGGTGGTTTCCTTTGGAAGATCTTGGTAGAGCTGCGTGAGCTCACTCGTGTCTCCCTTGGCCCAGACGACAAAAGGGTGAACGGGATTGATCTTGGTCCGCTTCACCCACGCAGTGATCTCTGGCTCATCCTCGATAGCCGTTTCATTGTGCTTGCAGTGGAGCACCTGGTATGTCTCCTGAGGAACGAGAGCCATCCTGGAAGCTTGGCATGAGGTCGGGTTTATGTGTGTTCGTTATGATGGAAAGGGCAGGCAGAAACGTTTTGGGGTGTAGTATGTAAGAAATGGAAAACACAGAATTGTATCTTCTCACTCTGGAAAGGGAAGGTACTTGAATCTGAAAACAGTTGAGTTCTTGCAACGTCTGGCTGTTCGTTGGATAGATTCAGATCAAGGCCGTTGAATGACTGAGAATGAAGGACTGAATGGGAAAAATAAGAGAGAGTAACGGGTGGATTCAGGGTAGATAGACTATTGAGAGACGCAGATTTGAGTTGGAAGTGTTGTTTCGAGCCGATAGTGAATAGTCAATGTGCTGATTCCCTTGTAGATGACGACTGGATTATTGAGACGAAGGGTTGCACTTCGAGTAGATACAGAAAGAGAGTAACCTCTGGGTAATAGAAACTGAGGATGGAAGGAGCGGAAAGAATGAGAGCGGCTGATGGATTGACTTGAGGGAAACAGGTAGAACTTGTGCTTGCGTGATATGTATAAAGTTGGAAAATATTGGTAAGAGGAAGAATGGGTGGTCATGAGTAGACTCAAGGAAGAGAGTCATTGACGATGAAGATGAACTTGAATGAAGAGGAAACGATGGGATCAGTCCTCCTTAGAATCTGTTGCTCGGAAGATATGTGGTGGGTAAGAAGGGGTTCTCATCTGGGTTTTTAGACATTGATGAAGTTACGGGAATGATTCCCTGACATGAAGGGAAGTGTAACTTCAAGTCGATGATAGTTCTGCTGCACAATTTGTGATATTTATTTGACCAATGGCCAAGTAGGCAAGAGCTTCTAAGGGCAAGTGCAGGAAAAAAAAAAGGGGGATTTTTCAATTTAACTTCTGGTTCTTGTTTGTAATTGCTACTATAATAGGTATGAAGAAAATGTCTGATGTCGAACGGCAAGTACGCAATCGTTGATAGACTCCGGATCAAAGTGACAGAGGAGACAATCACAGTTGGGAAGAACATATCTCAGACTTGGACGAGACTACAGTACTCACTATACTACACACTGTCACGGCGGTCGATGGTATGTTTAGTATATATTGCTTGGTACCTACATGCTTGGTCGACTTCACAGAGCAGGGCTTGCATAGTTTCCACATCGCTTGTATGGCCAGTCAGCTGGGCACGGCGAGTGTATCGATCAGTGGATGAATCTTGTTACAGTATTTGATTTGTGATTTGTTTGATAAATTCTTCCGCTCAGGCTGATCATCTGTTCCTGTTGCCGCTGGGTCCCTTTGGAGGATCCCTTACAAGCAACCGCACCTTGCCATCACCGATCTCGACTCCCTGACTGAGGATATCAACCTCTTCTTTAACTTCGTCCTGGTCCTTGGAGCTGCTGCTCCCTTCTCTAACTAGACTCTTGTCGTAGCTCCTAGCGTCAACACCGAGGATGCCGCCCATGTTGTTCCGGTCGCCGGGCACGGAGAACTCGCGATATGCATATCTCCACTCATTCAGGAAGTTCCTGATTGCTTTGCCCACCTTGTCCTTGCCATTCTTACTGTGGTGGCCGGTGCCGGTAATAGCATACACTGGCCTGGCCTCTTTACTATTATCAAGAAGAACACGTTCCAGATACTCAACAGCCTCTTCTGGGTGTAGACCATGGAGATCGACGTAAATCTCAGAGGTTGTGACCTGCGAATTCGCGGTCTGCCTGTTACGATCTTCGTACAGCTCTCGTGCAGCTTCTCGGTGAGCCTTGCGCATCAGTTCGTTTTCACTTTGGCCACGAAGACTTAGGGCTTTGGCGGCACGGGCATCATTTCGATTCCATGCTTGGGCAGCGCTAATCATTGTATCTTAGTATTGGGGTTGCATCAATGGGCAGGAATAGAAAATACCTTTGCAAGAACTTATTGCGGAGGCCACCATGTTTGATAGCCTCCTGCCGTGCTTTGAGATAAGCCTTGTTCGCTCGGTCTCCAGTCTCCAACCATGGAATATGTTTTGGCGTGGGTATAGCTAGAGCCGCGGCGCTGTTTTCCCCATTCTTCATATTTGCCGCGCTGCCATTGCGCCCAATCTTCTTGTCCTGCCGTGCAGGCCCTGGTGCTGGTGATGGAGATGGCGACATCTTGACGATATCAGCGAGAGAGCTAGGTGTGTAATTGTCCTTGTGACTATGGCCATGGCCACCACGTTTGCCGTGATGCTTCTTGTTTGTTTTGGCAGAGGCGGACCCCAGTGATGGAAATGCATCATTATCATCAATGGACGGAGCAGCCATGCCGTCCTTGGCCTGCTGGCGGCTACCAGGGCGGGATCTAGAACGAGAGCCTTCGTTTCCATTGTAGCTATTCATTGGTCGCAAGCCTGGGGGTGGTGTCATGCCAGCGGGAGAATAGCTGAAACTTGGCGCAAAGGGGTTGAGTTCTGGTGTGGCTGGACGCAACGAAGGGAAAGCAGAATTGAAATCTGTAACCGACAAGTTCTTACTCGGAGGAGTGCCAGTCTCGTCCACCGTGAGACGGTTGATGAGGTGGGCCGGGTCATGCGAGAAGATGCAAGTCTCCCCAGCTAAACAGTTCCCCATTACCCAATATCTACGATGCTATTAGCACTGCATTGGGAATTGTGGATCGAAAGCTACATTCAAGATACTTACTTGCATATATGATTACTCAGATCATGGCTGAAGCGGCAATCCGAGCGAAGACACTGGCCCGTAGACAGGTAGAACTTGCAAATGATGCCTGGCTTCTGCTGGCCTGAAGGCGTGTTGGGTCGGTTATCAGGGGTCATGGATTTCCCAATCAGGATGCTCTTGGCCTCAGGCGCGAGATGCGCAACGTTTCCAGAGTCCTGCGCCTGAGACTCCATGATGGCGGCAATCGTGGCACTCAAGTCATAACCGTGTACAGCCAGGGCTGCCTCAATCTCATCATCCGTTTTGGACTGGCCGAGAATAGAGCGGAGCATATCATATGGTGTCATATCCGTCTGCTGTGTAGAGACAAACTCGGGGACAGCGGCATTCAGTCCACTCGAGACACCGACGGAGGAGGTGATACTGAGCGCATCGTCACTCACGAGCCAATCCACATTCTCAGTCTGAAAGTCGCCATAGATCTCGGGTGCGGGGCTTGTGTCGTTGGCAAACTCGTAAGCGTTGAGATTTGGACTGTTGGGGATCACTGGAGCGGCGAAGGCCAGGCGTGGAGAGGGGCGCGGCGAGGAGAACGGAGAGACGGTCGACGACTTGGTCCGGCTGAGATTGGTAGGCACAAAGCCAGGAGGAGCCAGAGGGCTCACACCCAGACGTGGTGAGCCTGATAGGGGGGTTGCCGAACCCCTCCACGAAGCTGGCGACGGCCGGCGTAGGATGGTCTGCCGGATCGGAGGAGGGGATGCGGCAGCGCCGCCGCCATCGCGGTGTCTCCATAGGACATCGAGCACGGCATTCTCTAGGCTGGACCCTTCCAGTTTGGTCTCTTGCTTTAGGAGGTCTTCTAGTCTATCGGTCTTGTCTTCTTCCTCCAAGCCTGAGTCCTGCAATATCGGGAGGCATAGTTCGTACGTCTCGTCGGAGACCATGGTGACGCGGCGTCGGGGATAACAAAAAGCGAGCGAGGGTCAAGCACTGCAAGAAAGGCGGGAAAAGGAGCGAAAGGGCGGGAGCTGAACGGAGGCCGCGGTCACGAGAGTTTGAAGCGATGATGCGATATAATTAGAAAGCTTGCTTCAATAAGGCGAATCATAAGGCTGGTTGGCTGGCTGGCTGGTTCGCGGACTGGGCGGAGGCTGACCGAGCAGCTCGTACGGGTGTGGTTTGGATAAGATGCGGAAGCAGTAAAGTAGCGGGCAACGAACAGAGTGGGAGGCTCGTCACTTGTTCGGAAGTAAGATGAGCAGAAGAAAATTAAGTAATGAGGACAAGTAACCTTTTTCTCTCTCTCTCTCTGCTTTCAAGCGGGATCAGCTGAAGAAGGTATGCACCAAATGCATCATGTCGTGCCACAAGCAGAGTGACGAGAAGTTTTGGGGGGTGTTCGCGATGGAAGGTGACGGAGCCTCTCTGAGGTTCAGCTGCAGTCATTCACTCGCTCTCGCCATCTAAGAGCTCCAGTCCCCGTGTAGGTGTAGTGTGATGGGGAACGTAACGACCTTTGGACGCAGGGTGTTGCTTGACTGGTGGGTGGGTTGGCGTTCCTTGACCACTACCACTTAGTTCGGCCGGGTAAGGGAAGACAACGATAGCAGGTGGGGGGGAAAGACCATCTCCTAAGAACATTGAATGTCCTATGTAGCTCGTACCTACCACAGGTACCAGGCAAGCCTAAGCCGCCAGTGAATCCTCCCGCCGTTGGGTCCAATTCGGGGGGTTTTGGTCCTTAGGTTGGGGGGAAGGAGAGGAGGGGGGAAAGGCGACTAAAGGGGGTTCCGTCCGTTCATACAAGCTGAGCTGTCGTAAAAGGGCACCTATGCGCCCCGTGCCCGCGGCTCTCAAAGATTATGTATTTCATACTTTGTACAGTAATGCAAGCATGGAAGCTTAACTCAGCGTCCGCGGGGGGTTTGACTTGGCTAAAACTTCTTGGGTTCAGTGGCTCTCTTCAGTGGGCATTGTCACTACTCTCGCCGTAGGTACATAGTGAAAATACCTAGATACCTCATGAGGCGCATTCCTGCTGATCATTTGTTCTGCATTCTTATTGGATTCGGCCCGTCTGCCTACAAATCCTACCGAAAAGTCTCAGACAATAATAAGATCTTGTCCCAAGATTGACGTAGGACCTGTCGCCGTCGCATGCGATGCTTCCGGCTACTTACGAGTCATTGGCAATTTTTCATGTCCTTCTGAAAACTCGCGAGGATGAAATATCAGACGAAATGCACGGGAGCCGGGGTCATTTCTCGCCAAGTCCTTCGTATGTGGGAAAGATCAGACTGAAATAAATGAAAGCTTGTGCTGTGAAACAGTCCCTGGCGCAGTCTATCATGGTATTTCATCCTCTTCTAGATCGTCACCCCCAAAGCCGAAGCTAAATCCACCTCCCCCGGATTCCGTCTCCTCCTTTGCGCCCACTGCTTCTTCCCATCGGCGCTTTTTGCCAGAGTTCTTGCGCTCCATCTCTTCAAACGCTTCTTCTAGTAGACTTGGCTCTTGCTCACGAAGCCGCTCGACAAACAGTTCGTACGGACTGTCGACATCCCGGCTGAATCCAGTGACTTGATCTGGTTTATCCTTCAAGAACGAGAGAACGTGTGCCAAGTGCTTCTTCGAGTTTGTAACAAAATTTTGTGTCAGTGCAATGCCCGGTTCAAGGTTGACTACCAGATGCCTATAATATTGAAGTGTCAGTTTGAGGAGAAGAGAGACAAATATGCGCAATATGTGATTGGCCACTCACCACCAACCACTGGGCACATATAGCAGCTCCCCGGCGCCGCAAATCCCTTCGAGGCAACCTGCTTCCCTGCGCGCTTCCGCGTGGAACGTGAGAAGATATTCCGCGATACTCAAAGGGCTGGTGACTTCGCTACTGTCCTCTGACACGAAAACGCCCGGAGGTTCTGGAACACTGGGTGGGAACATGAGCCAGTACTTGGAACCCTGAATAACACCGTTCCATGCACTGGTCGCATTCGGGTCTTTATGGAAAGTCGAACCGCTTCTTTCGGGGCCAATGACTGTATCAAAAATCAGTATCATGTCCGCCACACATTACAAGATGCTCGCCGAGCAAGCATCACTTTGGACATACTCAACCATCGGTGTGCAGGTCTCTCGCGGCCAAGCAGCTTGAAAACGTCTTCGCCAAAACACTCGGGAGGCCAGTAAGCGCAACCTTCATCTCGACCGACCTTGATGTTCATCTTTTCCGCAAACTTGCGATCGAACAAGTACAAAGGGCTCTCATCCCGGCTGTTGACCATGTATTCGTGGTACGACGCGAAAGGCCAATCGACTGCCTCTGCTCTAAATTCCACATTTGCATACGCCTTGTTGAGCTTCTCGATGGTCCATTCCTTATACACTGGCCACGATGGAACGCAGTCGGTGAGAATGAAGGGCTTGCCGCTCCATGAGTCTGCAAACTCCTCGTAGGAAAGTTTGTCAAGACGGGCTATCTGGTTTGCTTCCGGGATACGCGAGACATGGTTCTTCAAAACAATGTTGGCGCAAGCGAACGGGCGGTGGAGCACATCCGAGAACACATTATTGCAGTCTATCCTCGTAACAACTTCTCGAGGGATTTGCAGTAGTGTATTCCTCCAAGTACCTTTCCACTTTGGGAGGTTTGACCCTTCCACAGCTCTGTCATTGTGTTAGTCATTTTGCTTTAAACGCCATGCTCACTTAAGCAAAGTCAGATGGTTGTGACTCGATAGAAGGAGTCAGATGAGGCGCAGCTCGTATAGTGTGCCAAATGGTAATGAAATGGACCTACTCGAGAAATAAGGGTTTCCACAGCTCATCTAGTTGACAGAAGGCATATAGAAACCGACATGTGGACCCCAGGGATTTGAGCGAGTCTTGCTGTAGATGCTCCAAGAGCTGCAGTATCATTTCGTCGGGAAGGCTGCCCAAAAGACCAAGGGCGTGGCGCGCTAGGGGGCCGGATGAAAAATACTGGTTGCCGAGTGGTTTGACTCCCAAAGGATGCACGGGAATGGACTCTGTGGATGACTCAACGACTGCCTCGATATTGCTCACAGCTATGTGAGCATGACGAGTGCTCACATGGCCTCCATTGGAGAGACCAGAATCTTGTGAAAGCAACATGTCTAATGTTGTGCCGTTGATTTTTGCAGAAGAGATCTACAGTTGATGCCTGCCCCCCACAACGGACAGAATGCTCGTAGACAGCCACCCGAGATATCGAATGACTATTATCTATACTTACTAGCCCTGCCTGCGTACAAGATAGCAGCAAGGTAGGAACACACACCGCCACCAACCAAGCGAGTGGCCTAATGTAGGATTACCAGGTATGGAGAGTTTGGCCTTGGCCTGGGTTCTTGGGCTATCTTAGTAGCGGGTTGGTCTGCATGTGAGACGGGCACTGGCTATCAAATGAATGTACGTAGTATCTGCCTCGTGGCCAGGGGCACAGACAGATGCAGGAGGGGATGCACAGAAGAAAAGGGAATGTGCGTCGTCAGTGGAGAGGCAAGAAAAGACCCAACTGACAGAAACGAGCGAGAAAAGAAAGAGAAGAGTGCCTGCTTTGGCTTGATACTCGAGGAGAAACTATTATTTGGTTGTGCTAATATCCATCTACTACCTAAAAGTGGTATAATAGTAGTATGGTAATACCTGAAGTATTGCCGTTTGCTAGGTAGATCAGCAAATAGCCCAGAACAGTGCTGAATTTTCACTGGATTTTTTTTTTCTTTGAACTTTTTTTTTTGCCCTCTCTGCTGGCTTTTGCCAGGCGCCGAAACCCATTGAGCCAATCAGGGCCATTCAACGCCTGAGAACCACCCAGTAGCCTAGCAACATTGCCCCCGTTTCGCCTTTTGGGCCGCCGCCCGCCCGCCACGCACAGACCATCTGAATTTTTCGACGCTGCTGCGGACTCCTGCCCAAAATTTTTCGCGTGAATATCTAGAACCTCTTCCCCCCCCCCAACACCACGGATTCTTGGGAATCTTCACCACATCAACCACTACACCACAAAATCCAACAGTGTCCCTCTCCTAGATCTAGAATCGCTCTCGCCGACCGAGAGCATCTGATCTAGTTTAATACTTCATCTTCGTATCCTACAGCTGTCGCTGTCGCAGAACCTTCGCTTCTTTTTGCGGTCGGTCTGCGCATCTTTTTTTTTTCGCAACCCCACCATCAAACATATTTTCGAGACTTCAGGCCGGGCGCTTGAATTCTCGATTTTAACCCAACAACCGCAATCATGGCTGACAAGGGTTTGGAGGACATCGAGCAGAGTAAGCACACATCTTCACATCAATCGACAACCGTCTCGTCGCAGGTGTCCTGCTTCGTCGCGATGCGAGACGGCGGCGTGGGCCGTCTTTTCCCACGCCTACCGACGCCTACCCACTTTTGAACTTTTTTTTAACGTGGATGAACCCAAGCTAACCTCCTTACCCCTCCATTCAGGTCAGATCGAGTCCAACTACGATGAGACCGTCGACTCCTTCGATGAGATGAACCTCCGTTCGGAGCTCCTCCGTGGTGTCTACGCCTACGGTTTCGAGCGTCCCTCTGCTATCCAGCAGCGTGCCATTATGCCCGTTATTAAGGGTGAGTTTTGCTCGCGATTCCTCGGCTCTCATCAACCAATCTTGACTAATTAATTTCCCACCATTCAGGCCATGATGTTATCGCCCAGGCCCAGTCTGGTACTGGAAAGACCGCTACCTTCTCGATCTCCGTCCTTCAGAAGATCGACCCCAGCCTGAAGGCTTGCCAGGCTCTGATCCTTGCTCCCACCCGTGAGCTGGCTCAGCAGATCCAGAAGGTCGTCATCGCCCTCGGTGACTTCATGAACATCGAGTGCCACGCCTGCATTGGTGGTACCAGCGTTCGTGATGACATGAAGGCTCTCCAGGACGGCCCCCAGGTCGTTGTCGGCACTCCCGGTCGTGTTCAGGACATGATCCAGCGCCGCTTCCTCAAGACCGACAGCATGAAGATGTTCGTCCTCGACGAGGCTGATGAGATGCTTTCTGTTAGTACCCAAAACGCCTTTGCTTTGTCAAGCACATGTTAACAAATCTCTTCTAGCGTGGTTTCACCGAGCAAATTTACGACATCTTCCAGCTCCTCCCCCAGAGCACCCAGGTTGTCCTCCTGTCTGCCACTATGCCCCAGGACGTCTTGGAGGTCACCACCAAGTTCATGCGCGACCCCGTCCGTATTCTCGTCAAGAAGGACGAGCTTACCCTGGAGGGTATCAAGCAGTTCTACATTGCCGTCGAGAAGGAGGAGTGGAAGCTCGACACCCTGTCCGATCTGTACGAGACTGTCACCATCACCCAAGCCGTCATCTTCTGCAACACCCGCAGAAAGGTCGACTGGCTCACCGACAAGCTCACTGCTCGTGACTTCACCGTCTCTGCCATGCACGGTGACATGGACCAGGCCCAGCGTGACCTTATCATGAAGGAGTTCCGCTCTGGATCTTCCCGTGTCCTGATTGCCACTGACCTGTTGGCCCGTGGTATCGATGTCCAGCAGGTTTCCCTGGTCATCAACTACGATCTTCCCGCCAACCGCGAGAACTACATCCACCGTATCGGTCGTGGTGGTCGTTTCGGCCGAAAGGGTGTCTCCATCAACTTCGTCACTGCCGACGATGTCCGCATGATGAGAGAGATCGAGCAATTCTACAGCACCCAGATTGAGGAGATGCCCATGAACGTCGCCGACCTCATCTAAAAAACGCCTTTCAATAACGCCTTTCTTGTTCACACAAAAGTTGTCTGTCTTTGTTTGCTCATTGCATAGGGGATACAGCGCAAATCTTCAAACGTTGTCCTGGCGGAGCACTTTGAGAGGGGATCACGATAGACTGGTGGGAGGAGTTCTTTATTGCCTTTTCTATGCTGGCGTTACTGCATGAACCAGTGACGATAGGGAATAGGCAAACGAATCTTGATGCATGCGGAAGACATGGCTAGATATCTAGCACCTAATTGTGCACTACAGGTGCACGGTATCGGTCAACAAAACTCGTTGGCTCGTGGTTTCTGCTTTATTTTCATCGTCTCTGTATGTAAGCCACGAGTTCGCACCCGAATAAAAACCTGGAAAACAAACTGAGGACCAGATGGTAATTTATTAATGTGAATGTGTGACTTGTTTTGACTATTGTGTGCACCCAAGTCGTATTATTTAATGAGTCTTGGCGTGTCTGGCCCATCCACAATACTGTTTTGTCCTGCTAGTGTCGGATCAACCTGCTCGGTTCCTACCGAAGCACGGCATTACTTTATGACGACTTTCTCAGACAGCAAAACTGGAGGATAGTTTTTGATGAAGTTGGGAGGAGGGAGCAACGTTGTTACCGAGCCACAGTCAAGAAGACGCAATTCACATGCCAAGTCAAAAGGAATAATGAACATGCACTTTTATATCCTGGATTTATTTATTTCAGCTGAATTTATCCTTTGTTTTCCTTCTTGATCACACGAGCTCTATTATTAATTCTTGGCGATAAAGACTTGCCAATGATGACTCGGGTATACCACTTGCACCAATCCTGATCTACTCAAGCTTCAGACCCTCAAACTGCTTGATGGTGCCTTCAAAGCCGTGAGCTTCGCTCTGGAGGTCCGCAAGCTTCTTGCGATCCTGCTCTTGCAGGGTCTCGCTGGCCTTTTGCTGGTACGCAGCGTCGTTCAGAAGCTTCTCCTGCTTCTGGATGGCCGTCTTTGTCTTTTGTAGCTTCTTGTTTGCCTTTTCAATCTCATTATCAATGTCGACGCGGCCCTTCACGTGCAGGAACACGGTGACAGCGCTGGAAACAGGGTAAGCGACACAGCCGGCCGGTCGGGCATCAGAGCTGGGCAAGACCTCGATGCTTGTGACACCCTTTCCACTTAGAGACTTGATGGACTGCACCTGATCGACAGCGGTTTTGTGGGCGGTCTCATCATATGTCTGTACAAAGACTGCAAATTTCGTTAGCACTCTAGTCTTTCGGTTTACATTGAGATAAAGCTTACCCTTGGCTTCGTCCTTGAGGGCATATTCAGCCATGAGGGAACGAATACCCTTCGATGATCCCAGGACAAGCTCGTAGGCGGCAGCAGCAGCCGGGTTATCCAGCTCTGCCTCGTACACGGGGTACTTGGCGATCATGATGGATTGAGTCTCATCGCCCTGTCGTCGAGGAAGTCGTTGCCACAGCTCCTCGGTGAGGAACGGCATGAAGGGGTGCATCAACTTGAGACCATTGTCCAGAGCCGTGTACAAGGTGTTGACGGCAGAACGCTTCTCCTCCTCTGCGCCGTCCTGGATGATCGCCTTGGAGTTCTCAATGAAGACATCGCAAAGATGGTTGTACCAATATGTGTAAATGGTGGTGGTGGCAGTGTTGAACTCTCGGTCGGGGATGGCCTGGTTGACCTCCTTCACGGCCTGGTTCATCTTGTGAAGAATCCACTGTTCAGCAAGTGATTCCTTGCCAGTCAGCTTGCCCGAGCTCGGGGGCGTGTAGTCCTGGTCAAGCTTGCCCAGGACGTACTTTGTGGCCTGATAGAGCTTGTTGCAGAAGCGGCGGTATGCGTGCATAACCTTGATATCAAAGTTGATGTCACCACCACCAGTGGTATAGTTGACCATGCAGAAGCGAAGAGCATCAGCACCGCAGTCAGGAATACCGTCAGGGAAGGCAGTCTTCTGGTACTTGGTAGCCTTCTCGACTTCGCTATCCTTCAAGTTACCCTCCAAGAGCTTCTTGTTCAAACCATCCAATGGGATACCACGAATAACGTCGAGAGGGTCAATGACGTTGCCGAGAGATTTACTCATCTTGCGACCTTCGGAGTCGCGGACAAGCGAGTGACAGTAGACCTCCTTGAAGGGAATGTCGCCAACCATCTTGAGACCGAGCATGATCATTCTAGCAATCCAGAAGAAAAGAATATCCCATCCAGTCTCAAGCACGGAGGTGGGGTACAAGTTGGCAAGGTCCGGGGTCTTGTTAGGCCATCCGAGGGTAGAGAAGGGCCAGAGACCAGAGCTGAACCACGTATCCAGCACATCCTCGTCCCTCTTCAGTGTGAACTTCTTGCCGGCAAGCTTCTTTTCGGCCTTTGCGCGTGCCTCCTCCTCTGTCCGGCCGGAGAACCAGAGCTCGCCGTTTGCCTCATCGTTCTTCTCACCCTCGATCTGGGCAAAGTAAACAGGGCATTGATGGCCCCACCATAGCTGACGGGACAGACACCAGTCGTTGATGTTCTCCATCCATCTGAAGTAGCTCCTCTCGGCAGTCTCGGGCTTGATCTTTATTCTGCCGTTTCTCACAACCTCAATGGCAGGCTCGGCAAGCTCTTTCATCCTCATCCACCACTGCGGCTTGAGTAGGGGCTCGATAACATCACCTGATCGCTCGCAGATAGGTACAGTCATGGCGTTGTCCTTCTTGTCCACGTACAGGCCCTTCTCCTTGAGAGCATCCTGGATCGAGTATCTCACATCGAAGCGCTTCTGGCCCTGGTAGGGACCAGCATTCTCGTTCATTAGACCATTGTCAGTGAGAATGTTGATGAACTTGAGGTTGTGCCTCTGTCCGAGAGCGAAATCATTAGGGTCGTGGGCAGGCGTAATCTTGACAGCACCAGTACCAAAGTCCTTCTCAACATAGTTGTCAGCGACAATGGGCATGAGCCGGCCTGGAATAAACGGGTGAACGGCGTTCTTGCCAACGAGGTGCTTGTACCTCTCATCGTCGGGGTGGACTGCGATACCAGTATCTCCAAGCATAGTCTCCACACGAGTGGTGGCAACCTCGATAGTCTCATCGGTGCCCTCAATAGGATACTTGAAGTGCACGATGACACCAAACTCGATCTTGCTCTTATAACCTGGAACCTCAATCAAGGTCCTGCCAGGCAGCTCCTTGTTGATGACCTCGAGGTTAGACAGAGCCGTGGTCAGCTCAGTACTCCAGTTGACCAGGCGGTTGGCTCTGTAAATAATACCCTCCTCGTGAAGCTTGACGAAAGTCTCGGCGACAGCCGCAGACAGGTTCTCGTCCATGGTGAAAGCCTCTCTGCTCCAGTCGGTTGAACCACCCATTTTCCTCTGGGCCTTGTTGATCTTGGCATGGTATTCGTCCTTCCACTTCCATACGAGATCAATAAAGTCCTTTCTGCCGAGATCGTGGCGAGTCTTGCCCTCCATCTTCTTGAGGCGCTTCTCGACGACGGATTGTGTCGCAATACCGGCGTGGTCGCAACCGGGCAGCCAAAGAGTGGTCTTGCCGTGCATACGGTTCCACCGGATCAACGTATCCTGAAGTGAGTTGCCAAGTGCGTGACCCATGTGAAGAGCACCCGTAACATTGGGTGGGGGGATAACAATGGTGAAGTGGCCTTCATCCTTGACGGTGCCGTCGGCCTTGAACTGGGGCTTGAAGAAGCCTTCCTTCTCCCACCATTCGTACCATGCGCTCTCGACGGCGACAGGGTTATAGGCCTTGAATTGGGGATCGTCAAGAGACTTGAGTCGCTTCTTCTCGCCGACCGGGGTGTCTTCGACGTACTCGGGCAGCGGCTCCTCGACAGGCTTTGGTGCCTTCTCCTTCTTCGTCTTGCTGGCAGCCTGCTGGGCCTGCGCCTCGGCCTTGGCCTTTTGCTTCTCAGCGAATTTGGCATTCTTCTCGGCCTTCTTGCGCTCTCTTTCTACTACAATTATGTTCAGTATCGAGCAATGTTGACTCGGACACGGTGGTTTGGATTTCTCTGTTTGACGTACATTCCTTTGCCGACTTGACCTTGGTCTCGGCCGGGGCCGTGGTCGCATCTTGGCCAGCGGCATGCAGGCCAGTGTCGCCCGCCTGCCCGGCCGTCACGGCGTCCTTGACATCCTTGGAAACAGGAGGAGGGGCACCCTCGCCAACCTTGCTTGGGCCCTCGGTCGCACCGACTGTGTGAAGTGAAAAATACGATGGTCAGCAAGATTTCGGTACACATGTGGAAAAGGGCGCAAAACTTGATGGCAGGGAACAAGAAGTGGCCGGTCGTTTATGATATATAGGCGGGATAAGATCAAACCCGGACAGGCATGATGAACAGACGTACTTGGGTTACCACGACCACTGTTTGTAGCCATTGCAGCGTATGTGAAAGGAAGATTTGCCCTGAATGGCGACCTGCGCCCCCAGAGTGCTCGGAGGATTGGTCTAGACAACTTGGCGGTGTTGCGATGGGAGAATCTGAAAAGGTGTGCGGGTCATCTGACGAAGCTGCAGATATATACGTAGTATGGGCTCGCTATACTGGCGACAGGCTTTGCTGCAGGAATTTTTGTCGAATCACAGCTTGCGCGCATTCGACTTGACTCACCAGACTGGGACCCGACTCGGAGTGCAAGGAGGGGCATGGTGGGACACAGGCTGCCAGCTGCCCACTACCTTAGTTAGCAGCTTGACCAAACCACTAATAAAAGATGTGAGGCGCCGAGTCAATATGTTGGCCCAGATCCCATCATGTTGTTGTTATCATGTTGAAACATGTGATTTCCCATACTTCTCCACGGCTACTTTTTCTTATCGAGACATTTTCCAAATACAAGCAAATTACAAAGTTCAAGCTAATCGCGGTTTGGAAGGGGGGGGGGGGGGGGGGGGGGGGAAGCAAAGTTCTGTTGCAAAGTCGCAATAGAAATGCTAACATTTCATGTGCCAGAATGTGGCAGTGTTTCATCCCCATGCTATAATATGAGTGAGTCTCCTTGTGAGAGAATCCTGAGCTTGACTTCAATTTTTCCAACGAGTAAACACAACCTACGCCGGAGAAAATGCAACAATTGGGCCAGTATTCTCGGCCGCACCCCTGAACGCCTCGCAATGCTACTTTCCCGATCCAAACTGCCCAGAGACTTTGTCCATATACCCAATGACTCGCTTGTATGATGCATGCTCATGAACAATCCAGAACGCCAGATGCAATCCATACCCTACACCTTCTTCAGGTCTTTCTCAGATACTGTCGACACAAAAGCATGACGCAGAAAATGCAGCCAAACCTTGTTCTTACTCTTGGGCTTTTTCTTTCCTTTCTTGCCCTTCTTTCCCTTCTTGCCTTTGCCCTTCTTCTTCTTTTTGTCCTTCGATTCGGACTCTAGGTCACTCTCGTCATCAGAGTCGCCATCCGTCTCGTCATCATTATCGTCGTCACTGTCGGCATCCTCATCATTCTCATCCTCGCTGTCGTCCAGCTCCTGATCTTCGTCATCACCATCTTCGGGTTCTCGAATAAGCTCAGATTTCTCGATTTCATCCAACTCGTTGTCAGAAAAGCCGTTAATCAAAGCCTTGGACTTCTTGGACTTCTTGCCAACCTGGCCAATGCGATAGGCCAGCTTCAGCATGTTGCCAACCGTCAAGTCCTTGAGCTTGTAGATTTCGTCGTCGAACGTGCTATACTCGACATCGAATTGGAATGGTCGGGGCTTTGGCTTGTGGCCAGGCTTCTTGCCTTTATGTACACCCTCATTCCAGCGCTCGTGTGAAAAGGCAGGATCCTCGGAATCTTGGTCCAACTGTAACTCATCGCCAGTCGACTGGCTATGCAGCTCGGCCGGGGCCTCGTTCTTGAGAAAGTCATGGGCATCATTATTGAGGTAGGTCAGGTTGGCAAAGTATTGCGTGTAGCCCATCAAGGTCAGAGGCTGTGGTGAATAAGCTGGTCCGGGGAGCGCCGTTGCTGATGGGGGTTCAGGTACGATCAAGTACGGGTCTTTCTCAGGCTTTCCCTTCTTTCCCTTCTTCTTCTTGTGCTTTTTCTTCTCAATTTCGAAATCCACATCTTCCGATTCGATAGCCATTTGTTCGCCATGTCCAGGTTTGCTGTCGCGGATAACATCTCTCCATGTAGGCGAGTCCTCCATGCCGGTAATGTTGTACTCGAAGACCCGGAGAGTTGGAAAATAATTCGGCACAATACTTGGACTGACCAAAGAAAGTTGGTAGCGCTCAGCCCATTCGCTGCCCAGAGGATGCTTTTTCGGCTTCTTCTGCTTCTTCTTTTTGTCCTTCTTCTTCTTGCCTTCGACCTCAAAATCCTCTGCGCTCAAGGTATGGATGGCAGCTTTGGGTAGCTTGGACCAATCCTTGCGCAAGTCGGCCAAGTAATCAGCACCCGATCGAATATAAAAGCCTTCCTGATTGACGTGACCCGCTGCATGAACTTTAGGCTCGTTTCCATGCTGTTTTTTCTCGACATGGGCTTCATATTCTGCGCTGCTGGTTTTGAAATAATTGAGATTTATATCGCGAGTATCCTGGAGGAAGAAGTGATCAATGTTCATATGGCCATACAGAGAGCCAACAACAACATCGCGATATTGTTGAAGCCATAGAGTGTACTTCTGCCAGCAGGTCTCGTCCCAGTTCTCCTTGCCGGCAGTCCTTGCAGGTGGGACATGGCCCATCAAGATGGCCTTCATTCCCCGATTGCGCAAAAATTGCAGCTGGATGCGCAGCCATTCCATCTGCTTGAATCCGGGTTCGGAAGGGTGGATGCAATCATCGACTCCTGCATTGCGGTTGAAGAAATAGAGGGTGTTTAAGCTGAAGACTGCCAGCTTGTTAGGAATGACCTCGGTGTAGAACCAGCCGCCCAATTCAAATGTGTGACGTTGAGACTCTGGGATGAAAGACTTCCAGATATCCGTGTACCGCTTAAGCCATTTGCTAGGACCCCCAACCATGATATTGTGCGGAAGTATGTCGTTGTTGCCAAAGGTGGGTATGATGGGTATCGTGAGACCAGACGAATCCGAAAGGGTGGTAACAAATTTGTCAGCAATCATGCGGTTGCTCTTGACGACGTCCTTTTCGCTTCGGTCGTACTTGTCGTCGCTGTCATGGCGCGCGGAATCTCCCGTCCATATTATGAAGTCAATATTATCCTTCAAGTGCTCGTCTATCCAGTTGAAAGTTGCGTTGACCAGCGAATGCGGCGTGTCGCAATCGGAAGTCTCTGCGCCATAGTATCCAGCTGGGCCTTTGCCGCGATGACATGCGTATCCAGCTTCTGTGGATGTGTGAGTTTTGTAGTGGCTGTCTGGATGGAAATCTAGACCGCGGGAAGATTGGGGGTTAGTCTAACTGGCTTGCACCATTGCGTTGCGAGAATGGGGAAATGGGTGTGATGCACCTGTTATATGCAGGAACCGACCGTGAAGTTTTCGCGGCAGCGATGCTCTGGCAGTTTCTTGCTCAGACACTGAGCTGCTGGTCTGCAAATCTATTACATGCTGTGCTGCCTCCAATGGGGCGGCGATGACGACAGCCGGCAGAACAGCTGCTGCCAGAATTAGAACACCCCGGAGCTCCATGTCTGCTGCGTGCCTCTACCACACACGCATGGAAGGTCGAGATTTTTGGCCCAATCTTCTCAACAGCTGTGTAGGTGAATCGGTATATCTTCAACGGTTTCGTAGGAAAAGCGGCTTGACTAGTGGGCGTCGGAGTAGTTTGAAGGAGATCGGAGGAGATATTTTGAGTGTGACGTCGAAATTGTTCTGGCGCGCCTTGGAAATTTTCTTGTGTTCCCTCTTGTCATGGAAAACCAACAATTAGTACAAGCGCTGTCCAGCACCCAACCTGCGATCTTCAGCGCAGGGTGCGGCCTTTGCAGCAAGGGCTTTTTTTCCAAGCCAGCAGTCCTTCGCGTCACGTCAGCGCTGACTGCAGGCAGGGCAGGGGTCTCTTGGGGGCTCCAGCGCCTCGGTACGAGTGCCGGGGTGAAGTGTACTGGAGTCCTGGCCGGCAATTGCGGAATGATGCTCCCCAACCAAAGAATCAGCGAGAAGAGTTGGGTATTTGTGGAGGATGGAAAGAAAAAGACGACACGGCCCAAAGCTTTGCAGACAAGAAAAAGAACGGCACGCGACACTGGGCACTTTAATGAATAAAAAGAATAAGACGAAGGCATCCACAGCGGGCTATACCGTAGGTCCGCACGTCGACATACATTAGAAGAGAGCTGTACATTGACACCGCCAGCAAGAGTCACGTTCCCTGATGATTGGGCTCTTTCGGTGAGACGGCTGCCTGCAGGTACTGATCCTGTGCCGTTGTGCATGCTGCCTTGGGTGCAGCTGAACCCCAAGTTTACGCCAAGTTGGGATGAAACTCTCGAACCGCTGCTGGCGAATGACAATGCACCTCAAATACACGTGTAGCCACAACGACACGACCAACGCTACAGCGTGACTAAGGCAACGAACGAGCCTCAGCATAGGTAGTTAGAGCATTTGGCCTGTGAAAAGATAAATCCATCACGAGACCATGTCCAGCTTACGTTGCGCTTTGTAGCGAGATGCACATCCGTTATTAACATGCGGCAGTCCTCCTCCGACTATACACCTTCTCCTCGCGGCCTTGGTCAAGATCAGCCATATATAAGTGCTCCGTCACAGCAGCCGATGTCTTGTGCTCATCATGGGAGGCATCCAAAACTCGAGACTGAAATATCATGGAGGGTTACGTGCCGCCATCAAGTGTTCACGTACATATCGGCATTCGCTCCTTAGCTCCTATGCAAGTAAACCACCAGACAGATGCCATTATCACAACAAAGCGATTACGCTGAACCGCGCAGAGCGCAGCTATGTGTTCTTTGTTGCAGCCAGGCATTCCTCCTGCAAACCAATATTCGGCATGAAAGAACTGACGTCACCTTGGCTATTCCTCACATCGGGTATGGTCCCAGGCTGAGATGATTCTACCCTGCTTGCTTATGTTGGAACTACGAAGGGTCACGAGGAAATTATAGCGAATATCCTGATGATGCCAGGCTCGAGATTATCGTGTCCTTACTTGTCAAGCCTCGGAACTTGTTATACCTTACATATTCTGCAAACTTTGACATTCATTCGACACTTTAGGATTTGGTTGTTTTTAGAGTCTTTTGAGTAAAGTCCCACTGACTGCAAGTTTGACATTTGCCCCCAACCGGGCTTCACTTCTAGTCCAATCTGCCCATCAAGGTTCTAAGAAGAGGGACGGGGAGAAAATAATCGAGCTTAGCGTGGACGCTAATGATGTCCGTGGGCGGCCCAGTCTAGACTTTCTCGCACCGAATTTTTGGCGGTCTGAAATTTTCTCCCTTTCTTCTTCACATTCGTACGCACATTCGATATCGATACTTTGCTGGTAGAATTGTCTCTCCGTCGCTACAGCTTCTTATATTTTATGTGCAAGATTCATAAGCCGTACGTTTGAGGGTATCCGATGGTTTTTCCAAAGTATCGGCTTCCCATGGTTTTAACCGGCTACATACAAACAAACACTCATCAAGTTCTTGCTACTGGTTGATTTGACTCTGCACGTTGTAACCGATCTGTAAATCCATTGTGTCCGAGATGAAACCTGCTTCCACGTACTGCTCATGGCAAGCCACGGCCGCCAAGTTCGTGGGTTATATAGATACTTGTGACTGCTGAGCTGCCATCTCTTTCGTGGTCCTCGAATCTCTAGGTGCTTGGATGGCACTTCATGATAGCATCTTTGTGACTGATTGCCTTGGGCCATCCCTACCTGTACGCAAGCCCCTCTACTTAATCGATGGCTGTTGCGTCGACAGAGACTGGTGGACGGCCTCGAGCTCAATGAGCCGGAATGGCCTGCTCTCGTCATTCTCGTCCTCGTCGGTGGCAAAGTCGTAGGTCCGGTACTCGGCGTTGGCGTACTTTGCACAGTCTGGCACGACTCTACGGATGAAGCCCGAGTGCGTCATGACAATGATGTACTTTTCTGGTCGGTGGAAGAGCCACTGCCTCGCAACCCGTGCCCGGCGCAGCAGGGACTCCTGCGAGGCATCGTACAGCCCCGTTTTGGCTGGGTACACGGGGTCCAGCTGCGAAAAGTCGAGATGCGGCCACTCCTTGGAGATGACGGAGATCTCGGACCCTATGTCGCATGGGTTGGCTGTGGTCTCCTGCACAGTAGCCAGACGGTGAGCCCCTTGGCGTCAGTCATCTTCTTTTCTTCGTTTCTTCAGGTTCCCTCTAGTAGGGCGAAAGCTGAAAACGACCTACCTGCCACTCGGCACGGAGCTCAACTCGTACGCCTTCCTCGGCTAGCCATGCGAGGCCGTGGTGATATGACTGAAGCGTCCGCCGGAGTGGGCTCACGACGATCAAGGTCTCCTCCTTGGGAAAGGCATACTTGTTCTGGATATCGAGGGCGAGCTGCTTGCACTGTGCCTCTCCCTTTGAAGTCAGGGCAGGGTCTGCAAAGTTCCAGTCATGTATGGTCATGTCAGCAACAAATCTGGATAATCCCCCTTTGCGCACGTGCGCAATCATCAATCAAGGACCGGAGACTTATCATCAATATCTAGAGTGTCCCAGTCAGACCTTTGCGCCATTTTGAGTTAACTTGTGAAGTGGATGTTGGGTTTGACTTACTGTGTAGTGCCTGGCCATGGCGTATAAGGATAACTCGCGGTGGCATATTGGGCGTTGGGAGGGAGAATAGCAGTGATGTCAAGTTGTAGATATGTTACGCGGTGGAGATGAATACAGATTTCTATCCATAGGTGCGAATGGGGCTGATCCAGCGACAGACGTCATGGCATTTATCTACTAGGTCAAGGTCTCTTTATTTCATGTTGTCACTGAAATGTAGGCGACAGATCGCTCTCAGAAAGAAAAATTCATAGCAGCCGCTGCATGACCGAGACGATGCACGATCAGTCAACGATATTCAGCGTCAGTCAAGTCTTGCTGCATCTGTCGTGCCCAGTCAGGTATGGTCATGATTACTTGGTCGCGTGTCTCGAAAGCAGCACTCCCGCTTTGTCCCAGTCATTTTTCAGGGTCTGAGAAACCAAAAGTGCTGGGGGTTTCGCGGGTACGGGCAGGACGGGCTACATTAGGCTAGTAGCTTAATCGAGTAGGGCAGCGGGTATCGGCATGGCAGCATCTTCTACGCCGACGTTCGAGAAACTGGGTTGACAAACTGTCAAGTCAACATGTGCCTGCCAAGCACTACAAACGTCGCCACTCATGGCTGAGCTGACTTTTGACAAGAAGGGCGTACCTACATGGGAAGCTGTCTCATGAGCCATTTGCAAATGGCTCGAGGAACACTTTTGTGAGTGCTTGGAGTCCCTCACAACGTGTCGCTCTTTATCATCTACATACCCATTCCATTTTATTGCAGTGAATGTTTAGGAGGGCTGGGGTTGTGTTTCCCGTAAATCCAGGTTTCAGAGTAGGCGTACAGTATCGCCACTCAAACACTTTGTCATCATTTCCCAGCCATGCTCGGCACTGATTCCCTTCCATTGCATCTCTCATCATTATAACCCTTGATCGTCTGAGAATCTCATGCTTGCTCAAAACAATCATCACGATGAGTCTGAGTCGAATCCTGGGTGGCCGGGTTAGGAAAGGCAGCGAAAAGTCTGGATCCTCGCCCTCCAGGCGAGCGCCCTCTTCATCTCCACGCAAGAAGTCTGCCAACAACAATAGTGCGCATCAAGGTCAGGACGACGACTATTTTGGCGATGAGAAACTCGACGACCTAGGCCTTGTCCACGCGCTCGCGACCGATCTCCACCTGCGTGACACCACACAGGCGATTCAGTATTTGCGCGCGCACATGTTTAGCCCGATTCCCGCAAAAGGTGCTGGCATGAATAGCACACGCATTGCAGATACACTGAATTTTCGAAAACATCTGCCACCGTTAGTGACGGTATCACACGTTCAGATACTACTGTCTTCGCCTAGCGCAGTGGAACGTGAGGTCGCTGAGCTCGTGCGCGCTGGGTTCATACGGAAGATCGAGGTCGTCAAACGAGGCGAAATTGGCGAGACATTGATACTCAGCAGTGATCTTGAGAAGATGCTGGACGATGCACAGCATCTCTCGGAAACGACGCAGGTGCTGTTCAAAGCATACTTGAAAGAGAATCCTATGGCTCGAAAAGTACAACGAGCAGAATTGCCCTCGTTGGCCGTGAATGAACTGTTCAGAGCTGGCTTCCTCACAGCTCACCATACTGATACCAGCTCGTTGTCACACATGATGAATTTGTACTCGCGACCTGAAGATAAGGCGAGCCTTGTCTCCATTGAGAACGTTTCCAAACAAGCTACGGGATCACTCGGCGCCGTGGGCGGCGTCGGGGCAGTACACATGGTCGGAGGCAGTGGCGGTGGAGCACGGCTGCCGGCCAATACCACGGAGATGCAGCTAGCCGTGCCCGGCAATGGCACTTTTCTCAAGCTGGTGGCAGCTGCGCTGGAACATCTAGTCTCGTTGCTGAGCAAGTCTCGTTACCGCGAGGCACCGGAAGACGTCCTTCGGGAAAGATGGAACGGTGGTGTAGCAAAGGATGAAGCAGCCTACATGGCAAAGAAGTCGAGGGGCGAGTTCGCCGGCATACTCCCTGGTCAAACGCGCAAGTGGAAACAGTTTCGCGGGTTGGCCTTTGAATGGATTTTGCAGGAGGCAGTCGGCTCGGGGCTCGTCGAGATCTTTGAGACGGGTAGTGTCGGTCGCGGCATCCGTGTCATCTGATTCATTGCATGAACACGACCCAATATGATAAGAGGCCGTTGGCCAAACAATTGCTACCGGATTCCTGGGGCTTATCAAAAGGACCTGTCATATTTCATTGTGATGGTCCAGAGTTTCCGTGTTTCGGAAAGAGGCTCCCAAGTATATCTGGTCGGCAGCTGTAATGTCTATAGATAGCATCACGGGAGAAATACTGCCAGGCTTGCCATGTGAATCATGAGAATCTTGTCTATGGGAGAAATAAGGCGTTTACTCCTACATTTGCAGCAAATTTTATGGCCGTCATGCAAAAACCTATTCTCGGATCTGTTGAGATGAATTACTCACATGTCAAGTGTTCTTACATATGGCAATTTCTACACTATGATTCACCTTGTTTGATCGTCTGCGGATCCAAACCCACCAAAGACAGATATCTATGCCGCGGGAACGAACGCACGGGTTGCCGGCATCTTGGCTTTTGCGGGGTATGGATCTGGCTCGTGTTTGAATAGATAGACTGGACAACAGGCAGCTGGAGCCGTGGTAGACCATGAGCTCAACTTTGTTATCATGTGAGGCTACTGGTTCGAATAGTAGACAGTGATCGTAGCGCGTGACATTTGCAAAATTCAAGAAAATATTACCTAGGTAGTTCCAATGCTCGTCTTCGATTGCAACAGTAGAATAGAATCAGGGAATTGAGGCTCGATAAAAAGAAAGCACATTCGACTGAAAGCACAAGCTGAGAATGGATACCAAGGATAGCCATGCATCTGATCCGCCATATTCCGTTTCACTACACGTGGAGTAGCTACTGGCTTGCTTTTCAGTATCACTATTGTTTCCTCCAAAAGGGGGGGTTGAACTGTGGGAAATTCTGTTAGCATGCTATAATTTCTGAACTGGTGCAACTCGGCTGCTCAGACATGTTGGGAGCAATAGCGGAAGCTGTCGTGAATCAGAAATTGATGATCCGGGGGTGCACAACTATGAAGTATGCAATGTTGCATATCGAAGCGACTTGACGAGATTCGTACCCGTTCAAGCTCCGTAAGATCGAGCGTGGAGTTTGATCGGCCCACCATATGCGGAACATAATGTGCTTACTATACATTAGGTTATATATAGAGTGTCCAAAGTATGTAGGTCGGTAACTTTAGTTAGAGGATTGTGGACCAGCAAAGAGCTTGGGTTGGGAAACCGATCATCTCCCTTACGAGCAGTGAATAAACCACATTTCCCCCCATGCAACCAATTGAATGACTGGGCAGATAGGAAGAAACTTTTTTGAAAGAAGTGTGAGCTTTTTCCTAACAAAGTGTCATCTGAGGAGGAACGGCTGGTTTCCAAATCCGAACTCATTGACGGGGCATCGCGTTGCTCGTATGCATGCATCCATCAAGACTTGTTGCCTTGCCTGGAGTATATGAAACGCTATGGTCTTGTTTCGTACTTTATCAGATATAGCCTGCTGGCTAGATCCGTTGTTCGGTAGCCTAATGTCCTCGTCGTCGATCCGGTTATACTCCCTCTTAGTGAGAACTTAGAAGACGCGAGAGAAAAGCTGAGGTCCCCGGCATAGCCGTGCGCTTTGGGAATTGAGCGGGCTGGCGGGAACTCAATGGGTTGGTCCCTGGCCTGAGCAAATCTTGGTTCCGCAGGCCCTGAGATCAGCTATGAATGAACACACTGCCGGTGTTGGATGGCTTGGACGCTGCCGCGGCCTACGAAGTTCAAAATCGGCATCGGGTCATGGGAATAGGACTCCGGGCCTCTAGTACGGGTGCTTCAGTGATGTCTGTCACTTTGCTAAATAGAGCCTAGCAGAATCTGCTTGATACAGTGGTTGTCAACTGCATCGCGCGTCCGTCTTGCAGGAGTCGATTCCCCGTCAAGCCGTTTTAATCACGGTACCCAATGAGGTCTCTGGCAGAATTCCAGGGTCAAGAATAGGTTTATCCAAATAGACAATAGTGTTCAACGCCGCCAAGCAGTGGATGCACTACCGCCACCTGAATGCGGAAGTGATAGGCCCCCATAGACGTGCTAGGGAAATTGCAATATGTTCCCCCAGAGCCGCCGCCGTGATTCGCAAATGCTGACTTGACTGAGCACATTTGATCATCTGGCGATCAGCCAGTGGCAACTTTATTAACCTGGTTGATTGGGGAACTGAGGAGCGAAACTCGCTTCAGGGCCAGGTCCACGGAGAGGTTTTTGCCCTTTCTTGGAGAGTGAGAGGGAGGCCAAGAAAGAAGGACGATGGCCCATGCATAGCACCGTGCCTACCTAGCAATTCAGATCATTGCGTGATGGATGGGCTTTTGCGTCTTTACTGTAGAGAGAAGTTTGAACCCTGACCAGCCAGATCACGGCAAGTAACAGTAACAGGGTGCAGTACAAGCAACCCGCACGCCGCACTGCTTGAATTGATATGGACTTTTCTGATTTTCTCATTTCATCACATGCTGGCCTGCAGATCGTTGAGTGTGATTGCTGCCCTGCATATCCCCGGTTCTTGCAGCAAGCAAATCATGGATGTTTCCCGCATCACACAGCGTAATGTTGCATGGCCGATTTCGAGCTCCCACGTCGATGAAGCCGAAGAGTGACAGGGCACACGGTCCTCGTATTATATGTCTCCGGTTATGGTGTAGCAACACCCGCAAAAAGTAGAAGAGTAACAGACAAGTTCAACATTGCTAAAACGGAGAACATAAAGAGAGGAACTTTGGAAGTCATTCAGTTAATCACTTTTAGTCAGTCCTGAGTTCCACTTGACTATCCACGCTTCCAGGGCAACGGCAATTAATGTGCAGTACACTATTATGTACTTGACCTACAAAGTAGTACATTTTATATGTATGCTCGGAAGTGCACTGTACCTAGTACCTGAAAGATTCCAGTGCAATCAATCCCCCCACCAGAGTCGCTCGAGGTCCAGGTATGTATCTGAAATCCAGTCCCGGGGGTGGCCTATCGGAAGAAAAAGCCGCGCAATGGCCAGCAACTGGACCAGGGACGAACGGGCAGCGTACTATGTAATGTTGTAGTTGGCAAGGTATCTTATTAGCAGTCAATTGGAAAAGTGGTATGGGTAGTAAAAAGTGGCTTTGAAAGTGTGCAGTGTGATGAGATTGTACTTGACAGGCCGCACCTGGCACCCATGTCGCCCTGCGGAGACGCACACACCAGTCTCAGGGATCAGGTCGCCGCTGGCTGGGGTGCTGGGCTCTATCTAATAAATTGATTCCACCGAAGCGGCATAGATTAGTGGATGGGGTCACTGTCCAGGGATAGGGGAATGCGAATTGATGCAACATCATTGAGAGGAACGGGACTGGACTGGACTTGAATGGACTCTAAGTCACTGATTAGGTGGTGTATTGGCGTCTAGCAAATGAAAGAAAGAATCTCTCTCGAATTTTTTCTTCTTCTCTCTTTTCGTCGTACGTTCTTGTCGGCGCGCAACTCTCCCTTTGCTACTTTTGCTGATGCCGTGTGTTTCTCTTCCTCTCCAGTCCCAGATTATCCTTATTTTCTTTCTCTTCGCCGGTCGGTCGTAAGCTAGACACTGTCTCTCGTTTTCGGGGTCTTACTACTCGTGTCCATTTCCTTGCACACGGCACACAGCTCGTACAGTACCTTACACCCAAGTACCTGCTTACTTGGCTAGAGGAAGCTACATACAGCACTGGACTCATCACTCGTTGTACTCACTCGCCGCCACTCGTCATTGGGCGACAATCGTTGTGCATTGATTGGATTTTTGGGGCTCGACGCTCGATTCTCTCTGAACCACCAGGCGGAAAACAAGACTCCCCGCAAAACTTGAACTGCTCGCTTCACTGTCCAAACACTCGCCCGCAACTTCGAACCTTCTTTTCCGAGTCTTTGTACAATTGTCGCGATTGGCTTTGCTTACTGAAAACGAAGGACACGAGAAGCCTTCTTGCTGCTCAACGCGTCCCGTTTATTATCTCGATATTCATTCACTTGCGTCTGCGGGTCGCAGGAACAAGTCGCTCAAGGTCGTGGATGCATTACCCGTTTCGGCTTTGATCACTACCACCCCAACAGCACTATACCCATCAATCGCATTCTCTTTACACCATCTTTCCCTCCCCCGACTCGTACCCCGCGACTACGAAAAGGAAAAGCAACATTCCCGTCGAACAGCAGATACGGCGATCCACTCACTTTTTGGCGAACACGGCAGTCCAAAGCTTATTTTCCTACGCGCCGCGTGCGCAACGCATTAAAAAGAAAGAAATCGCTACTGGCCATAATAAACCCCACGGCCCGCCGCTTGTTGATTCTTCTTCGACTCATTGGGCCTCGTCTTGCGCTTTCAAGAGCCGCCAGCAGCCCTACGAAGCAAAACTCCCAACGATCGATACCCAACGTCATCTGTTCCCCACGCAACTATTTCTTGACTCGACGACAGGTGTGCTGCAGACAGTTCAACTGACCGCCTGCGCCCAAACACTCATCCCCCCCAGCAAGCAAAGTTTACTGTCGTGGGCCTCGCTGACCCCCAGCGCATGAATGTTTCTAACCTCAAAGTCCACACCCCCAAGGATGTCGACAAGATTCATGCAGTACTAGTTTCATCTGCAATCGAAACTCGGAGTTTCCTGGCCAAGCGAACTCAAAAACTCCAAACGAACCCAGTCGAATTAGCTGATAGCCACCCCTTCCTTGAATGGCTTACTGTCAGACAATTGCCCTGGTCCTCACTCAACTCTAAAGCAAGGCAGTAATTGTCTAAGGTTCGGTCCCTTTCGTGGTACAAACACAGCAGCCCCGAAGACTGCCGGTACGACATACGCCCAGCACATTGAGCCACAAATCGTCCTTGTTGCTTTCATTTTCTTTTCCCGCATTCCTCCTACATGGAGATATAACAGACAGCCGAGAATATATCGCCTTGTTCTTTGGAATTAGAACAATACGATGGCTGCTCCCGGGGGCCTTCCGAAGCCGTCGCGCCCCTCCACCGGGGGTCCGCCAACTTCTGCTCTACCAGCCTTACCCGTTGCAAAAACGCGGAAAGGACCTTCGGGTCTTGCTTCGCCAACCAAAACACCCTCCACACCAAGAAGCGGCCTGCGTGCACCCTCCAGTGCCCTCTTGCCTCCAACAAGCCCCGGACTTGCAACCGCTTTACCTACGCCCAAGAGCCTCGCCCTCCCTCACGGCAAAACTCTACGCAAGTCGGTCAGCATAAATTCCTTCCCTCAGCCGCCAAAGGGCGATTCCAGAATTGCCAGTTTGCCCCCTAGTCCGAGGCCCGGTAGTACGCTCTCTGCCTCCAACTCGATTCGCAAATCACGAACACCGACGGGGACACCCAAACTAGGCGCATTGTCGCAAGGTACGCCGAGTCTGTTGAACGGCGGCGGTGACAAAGCAATCCTTAGCGCTGCGAGCGTAAGAAATTCAGACGGTCTGATCAGTGTTGCTTCGCCACCCCAAAGTAGGAGCTCATCGGCCCAGGATTCTTATTCAACATCTGCCACAACTTTTGACGATCCACAGGCTGAGGCCACTGCGAGTAGCGCTGTCAGCGAAAAGCGAGTCTCGAAGCAGCCAGACGGTAAAGGAAATGTTGTTGTCAGTGTAAGAGTGCGTCCAAATGCAGGATCTCATGAAAATGGTGGCGTAGAAGGGGAATGGCTCGTGGATGGTAGAAGATCCCTCGTATCATATAGAGGCAAGGATGGCGGTGACCATTTCTACGGTGAGCAGAAACAACTAGGATAATTGGGAGCCATAAAGACTAACAGGAGCACCAGATAATGTCTTTGCGACCCATGATGACAACAGCAGAGTCTACGATCATACTGCCAAGCGCCTTGTCCGCAGGGTTATGGAAGGATACCATGGTACTGTTTTCGCATATGGTATGACTGGTACAGGAAAGACGTTCTCCATGCAGGGCACAGCCTCCTCTCCAGGTGTCATACCCCTTGCAATTACCGATATTTTCTCCTATATCCGGGAAACACCGTCACGAGAGTTCCTGCTTCGTGTGAGCTATCTGGAAATCTACAATGAGAAAATTCACGATCTTCTTAGCATGCCTACCGGTGGCGGTGTAGGTGGCGCGGCACAAGAAGAAATCAAACTGCGTGAGGATAGTAAGAGGGGCGTCTACGCGACTCCGCTCAAGGAAGAGATCGTCCAGAGCCCGACTCAACTGCTCAGAGTCATTGCCCGTGGCGATCAAGCACGGCGAACAGCAAGTACCCAGTTCAACTCTCGGAGTTCCCGCAGTCATGCCGTCGTGCAGATTGTGGTAGAAAGCCGAGAACGTCAGCCCGGAAACTCGAGCGACAGCAAGCGTTCGGGCATGGTTCCTGGTGGCGTGCGGGTGTCGACACTTAGCTTGATTGATTTGGCTGGATCCGAAAAGGCTGCAGAGTCCAAGGAGCGCCGACAGGAGGGATCTCACATTAACAAGAGTTTGCTGACGCTGGGTACTGTTATATCGAAGCTATCCGAGGCCAAGGACAACAAGGAAGCGAAGCACCACTTGCCATACAGAGACAGCAAGTTGACGCGCTTGTTGCAGGGTGCGCTTTCTGGCAACTCGCTTGTCAGCATTCTCTGTACTATTCAAATCGGAGCTGCAGGTAGTTCTGCCTCGGCAAACAGCCACACCCTCGAGACACTTAACACGCTTAAGTTCGCCTCGCGAGCAAAGAACAGTATCGTCAGTCATGCCAAGCGAGCCGAAGAAGCTCTCGGCGCCGGTGGTGATGGTGGCGCTAGAGTCTTGCTGGAGCGGTATCGCATGGAAATTGTCGAACTCCGACGTCAACTCGACACACAAGCAAAGAATAACACTTCTCCCTCGACTGACGACGATGAAGGAAAGAGCAAAGAAGAAAAGGCCAAGGATGAGGAGGAGGAGAGAGCTCGTGAAAAAGAGGCTGACGCTCGACACGAAGAGCAGATGCTGGAAATGCAATTGGCTCGCACTGCTCTCAAGGAGCGAATTGACCATCTCAACAAGCTCATTTTAAGCTCAAAGTCCACTGGAGTGAATTCAAGTGGCACGTACAGTTCATTGGGAGTCCACCATCGGTACTCACAGATTTCTCTTGCGCCATCAAACAGGACATCGGTTGCCTTTTCCATTAGTGGTCGATCACAGACAGAGCGTACTCTCTCCATGACCTCATCCTCATCAACGATTGGACGGCGATCAAATACGCAGAGATACTCAAGCAGCGGTACAGAACCACCAACGGCCGATGAGGATGATAGTCTCGGCGAGTATGGTGATGGTGTAGCCTCTCTCTCGGCCCAAAACCAGGCGCTGCAGGCTGATCTTGCTGACAAAAACCGATACATCGCGACTTTGGAAAAGCGGTTATTGCAGGCAAGAAGAGCCAGTTCGTCAAGAGCTTCCTTTGGGCATGCTTCTTCAGGCAAGGCGATCATGGTCGGAGAGGATCACAGTGTTTCCACGGCGATGAGGGAGAAGGACGCCGAGATCGCCGAGCTGAGAGCCAGACTCGAGGACAAGGACCGCATGTTGGCAGCTCTTCGTAGTGCCGCGCGCTCAAGAGATGCCGCAGAGGGACTAGATAGCTCAAAGGCTGAAGCTCGCGAGACAAGGTCTTCTTTGCTCTACGAGCATGCAGCTAGCCCTCCTCCGGCCGAAGCGTTACCCGACCCTCCGAACTTGCGCGGCAAGAGCATATCGCCCGTGCGTGGACGTAACGGCAAGAAGAATCACGATGAAATGTCGCGGATCCTTGACGAAATGCTCCAGGAGAAGGTTGACAGTGGCCACGTCGTTAGAGGTGCTCGTGGCAGCGTTCGTCTGGCTTCCGAGTCGCAAAAGCCGGGAACCCTTGGGCAATCGCCTACTGATATTGATGGACTCAGAGAGAGCCCTTTGATTCAAGAATCCAGGGAGGTTTCCCTTGAGGCGTAGTGCTCTACTATCCTCCCGGAGTTACACGGCTTATTATTGGAAGGAAGAGTGCATTGTTTGTTAGAACTGCAGTCTCTGGAACGGCGTTTCGGGTGGCACTGTTTTCTTCCTCTTTTTTAAACTTTCTTCTTTTTTCTTCGCTTGTCTATACCCCATACTTTTCATTGTTTGCTACGCCGTGGGGGTTGTGGAACGCGAATGCCATTACGATGGGACGCAACGACGGGACCGATTGCTTTGAATCCTGAGAGGGGAAGAAAAATATAATGGTTATGCCAGGAATGACCTCGTCATTGATTGAATGGGAAAGATATCACACATTATTTGATAGACCGGGAAGGTGGCGATGGGCTTCCATGGAGAAGCCGGAAGAATTAGCGATCTTGTATATTACCTACTCAGAGACCCTTGAAGACCGAGCGGCTGTAAAGATGCTTTGCTAGAAGCTCCTTAATGAGAAAAATTAATAATATTCCACCTCCATGCGAGATTTGCGGCAACGGCTTGACAGGATCGTCTTTTATTACCCGAGCTGTATGATTTACGGCGCGCTCTCCTCAAGATGTGGTGGTGGTATGGCATAATCCTACAGGAATGTGATGCATAAACAAGGGATCAATTGATACTCGAATGACATTCTTTTCAGCCAGAACTCTCAAGTCTTACGCTCAATGAATCCCAGGCCGGACAGCCGCAGATACCCAGTGGCTGGAGCGAATGTACGACCCAAACCTCGTTTGCTTCTACTGCTAGGGAGAAATTTGAAAGTAAGAGGTGGTACTATGTATAGCAAAACTGTAACCCTCCCTGCCCATAACGACGACATGTGCAAATAAGTTGCTCGCCCAGGGGAAGCGATGACCCAAGTCCACGTGCATACTCATAACCAGCACAGAAAAGAATAACTTTTTGGACACCCCAGTGACTAGCGCCATTAGGAATCGAACCTAACACTCCATATACCCCCTTCCAGTGTTGCGTTCACCAACTAGCACCACAAAACGGGAATATACTTGTCTTTTGGCAGAAACACACAAATTGTACCTGTCCCTTGGTGTCCAGGACAATTTGAATGTCAGATTCCTGCATGATAAATGGGCACTTTTGATTGCTGCCGGAACAAGGTGTTTAGGTGTGCGCAACATGTATAAAAAGAAGGCTGCACGTACCTAAGAGCAGCCACATATGCAAGAAGCTCACTGCCGACATAGTTCCGTGTTTTGCAAGCCAAAAGAAAAAAAAATATTTGAATCTCAAATAAACAGCCTATTATGCTGGATGTACAGTAGTTACAAATTGCATACGTGTGGGCAGTGCGTAATAGACTGATGATACCGGCTTACGCGTTTTTTTGACGTTGACTGTTTTGCCCACATAACACAACCGAACTAGGAGGCCTTTGGGAGGGGAAAGCATTTGAGACTTGGATCTGGAATAACATACCTCGTTGTAGATTTGAAACAAGTCGGCCAAGAAAGAAACCAAGAAATCGATGTTTGAACGTGCCATTGCGAGGAGAGAGCAAGAATAGAAAAGCAAGCAATTTCATACGAACGGAGACATGTACCAAGGTAATTTCTCTTACACTAGCATGAGTAAGGTACATGGCAGTAGCTCGTAGTAGAGATTGGATTGAATGGTTTAGGCGGCGTACCTGTCCGTCTTTTTGTAGATCGGCCCCAAACTCTCTCTTTTTTTTCCCCCCTTCCCCCAGAGTCTCAAGCTGTGACAATAACTCTGCGGGAGGAGAAATAAGCTTCTATCGTATGTGCTTGCGTCGGTGCTTTCTATCTTGCTTTATTAGCCAGGTTCAAGTAGTCAGTCATCAGCCCAGCAGCAACCGGCGCACAAGAGAGAGGAGAGAGAGAGAGAGATTGCTTTGTTTGTTCTTTTCCTCACTCTCTCTGTAAATCGCCCTTTTTCCGGTCTCAAGGGGATGTTGACCTTGGTCCTGTACCTAGGTAGGTATCAAGATTGGTTGCTTGGCCAAGACACATGGGCGGGAGAAGACATCCCGGCTGAATGGTCACGACAGTGAATGGTTACCAAATGGTCCGGTTCAGCCGAGTGTCCATGGATGATGGATGATGGATGACGGATGATTGATGGGTATGGATGGGTTGGATAGGTACTGGTCAGCCCTGAGTACCATATTACCTAGTGGTGATGGTATACTCCTTTTGCCCACTCACTCGGCCACTCGGCGGATTGGTCTTCAGCTTTTCGCCTGTCGGTCTTTTCATGTACCGCCACTCAAGGCTACATAGTCGTGAGGTCAGAGGATACATTACACTAATGCACCAACCGAAGATACGGTTGCGGCTCGGTGGTCCACATCTCTTCATGTTTTAAACTCTACTTTTGTACCTACCCGTCAAACCCGTTTTCTCTTTGACACAATGTAGACAAACAGCAAAACTCACGTATCGCCCCAAGATTGTGGGAGAGATCTGGTGTTCCGCTGACTTTGATGATTATACTCTACGCTAGACGTATTCGCTGGAGATTTTGATTCCCTCTGCGTTGCGGGTGGACCCAACTCTTGCAGGGAGGGGGGTCTCTTCTTGTCTTTGCGATTGTGGATATTTGTTCGTGTGCATACGTACTACCGGGGGTGATGGCTTCATGGGTAGCGTAAGCTGAGAACAGCAAGCAGCAAGCAAGTTGCAGGCAAAAAAAGGATGGCAACGCAACGCAACGCCAACGCCACCTCACCGGATGCGTGCGGAAGACAAGGAATTTGCGCCTGGCTAATGTGGAGGCGAGGAAGAGGGAAGGGGAAGAAAAAAAAAAAAAAAAAAAAAGGGTCCTCCTATTGAGTGCTGACCTTGCTCACCTCTCGGTTGCTGCTTGTGGTTAGGGGGGTGGAAAGAGGTCAGCTCGGCATCCGTCTGCGGGCTGTCATTGGGTCTTGGCCAAGAATTTTGCTTGCAAGAAACCCTTTTTCGACGAGCAGCCGACTTGGGGCCCTCGTTTCAGAATGAACCAGGGTGTCAGGGTGTCCGAAATGATCGTCAGTCACACATTGGCTTTTCTTGCTCCCCGCTTCGTGGGATGAGATCGGAGCGGACGCACATTGATTTTTTTTTTTTTTTTTTTTTCCTTTTGGGTGGAAAGCTTAGGCGAGGGGTCCTAGAACCGTGAAAACGCAGGTTAGATAGGTACTTCGTAAAGATCGAGGACTAAATAGCTAGGTACATTAGTATGATGAGGCCGCGTCCCTGTCAACTTAAATGTGCATCGTCCAGTAGTTTACAACTCGACTCATCAATGATTAATACTTGTCTGAGCAGTTACTCGCCAAAGTTTCATGGCTACCTACCTGAGTGTTTGACTGGGAAAGATTGGCAATCGGGGGCGGTGATACATCATCTCTCAGCCAGGTAATGATAAACATGCGTACTCTGTACACACAGAGGAGAGGGACACGGAGGGATGGAGAGGGCAAGCCATATGTCAGCCACAGCCAGTCGGTCAGCCAGGCTTTCTTTCTCTGTTTGACCATGACAATATCCTCGACATGCATCCATTCACCCATCCAATGCTTTGTTTGCCCTGGAACCCAACCAACATACTAGGTAGGCTGTCCGCGCAACTTCAAACCGAGAAAACGACTCCAAATATACGAGGCGCCGGGGAAGCTAGGCCACGCTTGGTAAGTCTATACTCACCTAAATGCAACGTCAATTTACATCGCGCCTCAACCGTCTCGACCTTGACTGCTTTGAGAACTGCCCAGCTTGCGAGTCATTTGGGGATCTGGCAAGTCTGGGATTCTTTTGGGCGGCGGCTTTGGGGCAAGAACCGCATCTCTTCATCTTGCGTGGACCCCGGTTTTATTGAGTCTTGTCTCCCAATGAGGCTCCAGCGAGTTCCCCGGTCTTTGGTCCCCTCCTCTTGTCACTTTCTTCTCGTTTTCTTTTTTGGCATAGCACATGTAAAAGGCTCAAGCCGCTATACCCAAACGAGGTTGCTCGAAACTGGCCAATTCCCTGCAATCCCTCTTTTTGACAATCGCATGACAGGGCCCTAGCCATTTAGAAGCCGATCTCCAGATCGTCAACTTGCTCTTCCCTTCTTGCATATGTCTCTTGTCGATCTCTTGGGTTTGCTTTGACCAATTCCCTTCAGCGCTCACACTTTCTTGAGCTGGGCATTCCGTTTATCCTCATTTTTGCCCTCCCCACACTATGCCTCCTCTGCTATCAGTATCTGCTCTGCTGTGTCTCTGCTGCTGCTGGTACTCAAGCTGTTCATGGGCTCCCTTGCTTTCTCTGACATCATTTTCCGCGGACTGTAGAACAAAACCTTCTACGAACCTTCTTTTCTGAACAAAACGCTGCAGTTTTTTCCCCTGCTCCAAATGCATCGTCTGGTCTTGCACTTTCTTTGGATTGCGGCTTCTTTCTAGGACAAAATCTGCACGAATTACGGGATATACTTGAGACTCATGCAACGGGCGCTCGACTTTTCAAATCTTCTCCTTGGCCCGTTCTCGAAAGTCAAGACCACGCGAGCAGTACCGTCTACTCCATATTTTTTTCTTCTTTCTTCCGCCTTCTCCTACCAGGAGGGAGGCAGGCGTATAAGCAGTACAGAATTCGATTCGCAGCCATAGATATTTGAGATATCTGCCGGTTTCATTGTCTAGGACAATTACCAACGCCTTAACCGTCGCAACCTAAAACTGGTGCCAGTCTGTGTACCCTGATAGTTGAACTCACGTGGCGGCCCTTGAGCTTACAAGATTCAGGTAGAGGAATAGTACTTCTTGCCTTGGTGCTATCTGCTTACCACGTACGAAGTACCGTTGGTTTGGCAGCATCTCGCGTGTGCCGGTTCACAAGGACTTTTGACCAGTGGCACTCGCGCTCCACTCCCGTCATAAAATAAATACCGCGCACCGTCAGCGTTGTGATCGTCGCCCGCGACCAAATCCGCCAGCTCCGCCTCTTAGTGCTCCACCATTTCCCACGTGAATGGGTCCCGGGCTCTGAAGATCCTAGCTAGTGTGCTGCCTGTCATCTCTCGAAACGAAGCAGCGTGGCCCAACTTGGGAAGGCACTAGAGAATTGGGTCTGCTCTTCCCTTCTACTTCCGCGACTCATCACTGGTCCATTCATACATAGTGTCTTCGAAAGCCGTCGAAAAGCAGTTCCAGCGGCTCTTGTACGACAACGCTGATACAGTCGAGTTGCAAGTGTTCCACGGCGCTTCGGTAACCTCCCGGCGTTGCCTCGCACACGGAACTTGACCTACCATCGGCAGTCAGGTGTAGGGAGTGATTTGGCGATACAGCCTCCTAATCAATCCCCACCTCTGCGGTGCATGGAAACTTGAGGATTCAGAGGGATTCCCTCTCCCTAGCCTTCCGCGGCGCCTTTCTTTCTTCTCTCGACACGGGGAGTCTCTTGAACACTTGCCGTTCTTGTCTTTCGAAAAGCAAAAACAAGGGCATTGTCCTTTACCCAATAATACTGACATAATATAAACAACACATCGACAAGGTGTCCTTGGTTTTGACGACATGCCACCACGTTTAGACGTGCCTTCGGGCACTCATACCAAGATGATGGTGTCGCCACCACGCTTGAACTTGCGCAGAGCAGCTTCTTATACACAGGTTTCGAACGAAAAGCTGCCTCTATCGGCAACATCGTCGAGTTTCAACTTCAATCACCTACTCTTCTCACCTCCACCATCACCAGGGCTTCCCGTCCTCGTCACCCGGCCAAGGAAGCCCTCCAATGCCCCGCGACCAAGTAGGGTGTTTCGGGGTCTCGGATGGATCGTTACTATCTTGATTTTTCTCTATGTCTCGAGGGTGGTGGTCCGGAAAAATGTCAAGCTGCCACTGGTGGGAGGATGGGAAAAGACTGGAGATTTTGAAATGGTTGGACAGTATGATCTACCAGAATTTCCAACGCCAATTGCTGTCACAGATCGACGTGGCCGGTCGAAATGGACCGTTTCGATACCCCACACATACAACTTTCCCCTAACCACAAAGGAGTACGCGGAGATTTGTGCCAAATGCCACGAGGTGGCAGCACACGTCAGAGAACTACAGGGTGACTCCCATCCGTCTCAGCGGGCACAGCTGGATTATTATTACCAAGATCCCCATTTCGTCGATGTTTACGAAGCCGAAGACCGCGGGCTCCTCCCAGTCGTGACCGCCGAGGCCCAGCAGAGCTCGTCTGTTAACCAGGGCGGCCATTTTGTGGGGAGTGATGGGCTCGAGATGGCAGGAAAGCCGGTATGCAAAACGTCGATGACCTTTGTGCTCGAATCTCCGGAGGCAGGCCTCGGGCCCACGCTCATGATGTTGTGGATTGCATATGGCTTGGCCCAGAAGGAGGATCGTGCCTTTTTCATTGACGACTCGAGATGGGCTTACGGAGACTTTACGGGCATATTTCAGACACCACCTGTGCCCGATTGTAAACCGCCGCCAAGGCACGAGATGCTCCCTTGCCCACACCACGCCCGTCACCTTGTCGTCTCGGTTGCAACAGCTCGTGAAACTTTTGGCAAGAGCTTCGACTATCAGTATGAACAGCTTGAGAGGAATGATATCAAGCGCGAGAAGCCCACGTATGAGTTGGCTCGCGCCGGATATGAAGCATTGTTTCGGTTGAACGACGAGGACCAGACTTTTGTCAACCTACGCATCAAGGATCTGAGGGAGAAGACCATAGTTCCCACGGGCAACAACAATGACGGTTCCCTCATTGGGGTCCACATTCGACAGGGCGACCAACATCCCTTTGAAAGCGAGTACAGTGCGACTTATATGCCATTTGATCGGTACACCGAAGCCATACAGCAGATCCTTGAAGACGCCCACAATGGCAGCATGCCCGATGGTGCCGAAGACACTGTGGCCAAACAGTATTCGCAGATTGTTCTCGCCTCAGATAACCCCGAAGTATACGATGCCGAAGAGTTCTCAGGCTCAATCCGAGCACAAGAAAGGATAAGACTTGCTAGCATAGCCCACCCTCCACCACCTAATCAAGACCCTCATGTTATGCACAAATTTCAAGAGGAGACATTTGGATGGGAGGGGGGTTTCTTTGCCAGTATGTTCTGGAACCTGGGCCGTTCGACGCGCAACAATGCTGGCTCCAACACGGTCGTTCTTTCATCCGAGGCAACGAGGCTGAGGAGCCTGATTGGTCGCTCATACATGTTGGACCTGGCTATACTCGCGCAGGGAACAGATACCGTCGTGTGCACGGTCAGTTCAGCCGCCTGCCGTCTTGCGGCCGTGATGATGGGCTGGGAGAAGGCCATGGAAGACGGCAACTGGGTCAACATTGATGGAAATTATCTCTGGACCGGAGTGTCATTATAGATGGAACCCGGTAATTTTTGGAAAAGAAGAAAGAAGAGAAAACAGCGAAGCCTGAGCGAGGCTCACAGCACTACTTTTGCATACTGGCATTTTCTTAGCATCATGGACGGCGTTTGGGTTTGGCCCTTTTCTTGTTAATACTGTTTTATCAGCAGTAGTCACCAAATCAATTGGTGCGATGATACCTCAGCAAAGCGGTGCATTGAGACGGAGTTATTGCATAAAAGAACAAAGCAAAAGCCACCACAGAGATGGCAATCATAGCCCCAAGCCGTCAGTGGCTGTAAAATCAGGAATCTATCTCCTATTTGGTCATCCATTTTACATACATGTATCTCGAAAAGTGACACTTGTTAATGTATCGTGTCCCAAATTGTCATGTTACGGGCCGCACACAAGCGTATTGTATTCTTTGCATCGAGGTAGCAGTACCAACATGGAAAATCAGGTACTTGATAAAGACAAACGCATCATATGATGTATACATGAGCGTCCACCATTATTGTTTGTATCCAATACATGACTTGCTTGATCGTCTCACATTGATTAGTTTGATGGAATTGAGATGCAGAGGTTCCACCTTTTCGTTCTAGAAAATCTAATGAATGCCCACCGCGGATACACCTAATAATGATTGGTAACCGTTATTAAAATGTCAAACCCACAGTCACAAGAAGTATTGGTAGACAAGGTACGTGGTGATTTTCAAGTGTACACATTCTGACATTTCAGTGATAGGTAGTGTACATTTTAAGCAGTAGCCACAGCTCGAGATCCCTGCTTGACTATCATTGACGTCTCGTGGTCTCGTGGTCAGTAACATCAGCTGCATGTCCATCAAGCGGGGTAGGTATCACACAGGTAGGTATTACTTATTACCCCTCCTCAATGGACCCCTATTTGCTTCTTGTACATCAACGACACTCAACCTTGGTCATGGCAAGGAAATAAGTTAGTTATCCTCTCTGGAATCTGTCTGGGTCAAAATCTGTGCGATTTGCTCGACATGATTGATGTTGCTAGGTGAAAAAACACGGCTGGTTTAAGCACCACAAGACATTGTGTCCAAGCCCAAGCTTTCCCTCCAAATTGAGCGGTGGATCTTGCAAAGAAGCTGGAGCTTTGGGGGAGCGTCTTTGGACTCGCCCGCCCTAGAACTACCTTATGTAGTGCTCCTTGGCTTCACCCCCCGAACTGTCGGGTCCCATCCATCAATCCATCCCACCCCCTCCACTCCACCCCTGACACATGAAACTGTAGCTGGATTGTCTAAGAGACACTTTTTGGCTCAGTTCGATCGATCAGACCGTATTCCAGCCTCGCTTCATTCCCCTCTCTCTCCTCCAAGATTAGTCTCGCTACTTTGTTTGACATCTTCTTTTTGTTTTTGGCAATTTGTACCGTCCACCAACAAGCCAGTCACCCAGCCTGGAAAGACGGGCCGATCAATATACCTATACATCATATACAGTAAAGATCACAGAGAGTGACAGCAACATGGCGGAGCCACCAGCAGCAGCCACGACGGAAGTCCCAGCCAAGACCGAGACCACAGCACCAGCACCGGCAGCAGCAGAAGCAACACCGGCAGCACCAGCACCAGCAAAGTCCGCAGCCCCGGCCAAAAAGTCGTACTCGACCGACCCGGCCCTGTACATATACACGTCCCTCACGGCCGGCTCCTCGCACATTGTCACGGCCACGTCGCGGCTCGAGACCATTCTCAAGGCCAACCGCGTGCCCTTCAAGGCCCTCGACATTGCCGTTGATGAAAAGGCCCGTATGCTATGGGGCCGACGCGCCGGCAAGGATGAGAGCGGCCGGGTGAGGAAGTTGCCTGGTCTAGTGCAAATGGGTATGGTGCTGGGTGTAAGTTGGTCTTTCTCTCACTTGCCCTTGTCCATGCCAAATCTGGTTATCGTGCTCTCTCAACGATGGAGAGCCTGCCCTAATCGCTGGTTATTGAGAAGAAGAAAAACAGGAAACGTGGCTAATACAAGGCGAATCATAGGACCTTTTTGAAATTGAGGAATGGAACGAGTACGGCGAGCTCAAGCAACACGTCAAGATTTACTACGACGAATTCACAATACCGGCCAAGGGCGCCAAGCAAGTCCCAAACAAGCTGAAGAAGCCCGTCTATGGCAACTCGGTAGCGCCTAGCAAGGTGGCACCGGCCGGCGGCGTCGCAACAGCAGCAACGTCGTCGGGTCCGCCCAAGGCCATACCCGCTGCGCCGCCCCTGCCAGAGAAGAAGGCGGGCGGCGCCCCGGCCAACACGGCCGGAGCCAACAAGGCAGCCGGCGCCGCGACCCCCGCTGCGCCCACCATGAGTATCGCCGAGCAGGCAGCACAGAAGGCCGAGCAAAAGGCGCAAAAGGCCAAGCAGGCCCGTTTGGAAAGTCTTAGAGCGAAGGTCCACGGGGCAAAGGAGGCTAGAGAGAAGGAGGCTGCCGCCGCTGCCGCTGCCGCCAAGGACGGCACGGGCGAGGATGCCTTGACCGTTTCGACATCGCCGAGCGCAGAAGCACCAGCGGGTGCGGCAGCCCTGCAGTCGCCAACCTCGGGTGCCTGGAAATCGTCAGGGGCTCCGCAAGAGGACAGTCTCCGGAACGTGCTGCAATCCCCTACGTCGGGAACTTGGAAAGCCGGCGACACTATCGTGGATCTCCCGGTCCGGGAGCATCGTGGATCGTCCATTGTTGAGGCCTCAAAAGAAGAGATTGCCGCTATTGAAAAGGCCGGGGCCATTCCAGAAGCTGCAGTGGAGTCGTCGGGCGAAGAGGACGAGACGAAGAAATAAATGTTTCCTCTCTTCTCGGATGAAAGAGAGACCGCTATATTAGAGGTATACCAACCCGAAGTTCAGCGTCGAGTCCCAAACCATTCTGCCATGCAAGAATAAAGAAGCATAAGAAGTGTGGTCGAATCATTAAATCTCGCGTCTCTCGTGTATCATTTGCCATGAAAAGCCACGCAGTAAGCTCTAGCTATAAACGCCGCCTATATGTCTACCCATGCGTAAAGACCCAGTATGATACATTACTTTCGAATACCATTGTTCGTGTCGTCTTGTTCGTCGTCTCTATATCCATCGTCCATGGCGTCCGTCTCCCAAAGGGAAATGTCGTCGTCATCCATCAGCGCAGCCGCGTCCGACTCTCCGCGTGGCGAACCGCCGTGGTTCTGCAAAACGCCCTCTTCCAGATCCTCATAGTCTACATCGCCAGCGAGGGGACCATCTTCACCCGCCTCCTCGCGTGCGAGCTCCTCGGCCCGCGCCATGGTCCTGCGGTAGACAAACAAGCCAATGCCCATGCCCAGGAGGCCACCGACCAGCATGCTCAGATAGTTGATGACCTTGTCGCCGGTAGACATGTCGTCGTCCTCGGCGAGCTGCGCCAAGCGACTGCCAATGAAGACGTGCACGAGCAGCTTGGGCGTGGCGAGGGCAGTGGCTGCGGCGAAGCGGAGCGGGTTGATGTTGGGAATGGTGGCTAGGAAGCCGTTGCTCAGACTATAGGGCAAAGGGCAGAAGCGAATACCCGCAAGGACGAGCAGCCCGTCGTGACGGAGTACCTGGCCAAGGGCGACGAAGCGGCGGTCGGCACCCACGAGGCGATCCACATAGCCGGAGAAGATGGTGCGGCTGGTCAAAAAGGCCACGGCGGATCCGGCGACGGTCGCCGAGGCCACAATGGGCCAGCCGCCGGGAAAGCCAAAGACGAAGCCGGCCACGGTGATGGTGCTGCTGTAGCCAATGACGGGCGGGAAGGCCGTCGCAAAGGTCATGAGCCAGACAATGATCCAGCCGCCGCGGAGGTCCCGCCACCCCTCGGCCACGGGCTTGAGGGCCCCAAAGATGCGGTGCGAGTAGACGAGGAACAGGACCGTGAGGACGAGCATGACCAGGCCCGCGACGGCGGCCAGGACGCGCTGCAGGGGCGAGAGCCGCTCCACCAGCCGGATGCCGCGGTTCATGAGCGTCGTCGAGGTGCGCAGGAGCCGCGCCCCCAGCGGGAGGTGGGAGGAGCCATCGGTCTGCTGCGAGCTGCGCGAGTACGGCCGCGAGAGGCGTCGGGCGCGCGAGTTGCTGGACTGTTGTTGCTGCTGCTGCTGATGCGGTGATGATGTTTGTCGTTGGGCCTGGTCGCGCCGCGCCCACGATGGAAACGAGCTCGGGGATGTTGAGCCTGGCGACGGCGTCGATGGCTCGCTGCCTGGGGATATCGGCATGGAGAGATTCCGCGCCGCGGACTTGTAGTCTGCTGGCATTTCTTTCCTTCTTCTTTTTTCGTCCCTTGCTTTCCTTTCCCTTTCTCAGCTAGGCTTGCCAAAGGTAATATGGCTCAGTAAGTTCGAGATTCGGATGTAGGAGAGCGTAAGAAGCTCATAAATCTCGAGGTTCGGATGCAGCGGATGCAGCGGATTAGATAGGAGTAGATTGATTTATCGCCTATCCATTTCAATTTGGCGAAGTAGTAAATCAGAAGAAACTTCCTGGCCAGACGAAAAAAAAAGTTGTTGAAGTTGGAGGTTCTCGGCCCCAGTAGAATCCTTCCACGAAGGAGAGTAAGTTCAGCTTACCTTTTAGCGGCTCAGCCTCTTAGCTTAAAGTGGGAAAGGGAATCACGGCTGCGGCGACAAAGCCACGACGGTTGGCCGTTACAGTTTGGTGTCTTTTTAACGGGTATACAAGTCTAACTGGTTGATGATTGTTCAATGAGCACATATGAATAAGATACTATAATCCTTCTTTTGTGTGCAATTAGCGACATCAATTGGTGAAAAAACAATGCTCAACTAACTAGGAGGTTGCTTGGAGTTTCATGATGCGGATTTACACGTCGCAGCTCTTCTCTTTTCGGTGGTTGCCTGTAACCTACGTCTCCATATTACATCATGCATGGGGACCCTGTCGCTTAAATTCCGACGACTATTAATAACCGTGCTTGCTGTCTGTACCTTGAGAGATATAAACTTTTCTAATTCGGATTGATAGGGACTGCGGTCTGGGGGTTCAAAGACTCTTTATATATTCTAGATGTTTTGCTCACGAGAAACAAGAAATACGACGCAATAGAATACAACTGCTCCTTGAATACCCCTGATCACTAATATTTAATCCTCTCATCAACAATTGTAAACTGCCGCGTCGAAAAGTACCCGACTAAAAGTTAACGTGAGTTCCTGCAATATGGTTGGCGCCTGTCAATGCGTAAAACAGGTGGTGGTACATTGCGCCCCAGGCCTGGAGTCGGCACCTGCGGAAAAACGATTGATACTGCGGATGTGCTCTAAGCATAAACATCAATAAAGCTTATATCTCTATCCATTCGAGCTTTGACCGGACAGCAAGACGATATAGCACCTAGATATTTTAGGTCAGGGGCGGGTGATCATCAACCGCTGCGCATCATCCGGGCGGATAAGAATCCGTACTCAATCCGACTGTTCTATGAAGATTGAAAGGCTGGAATATGCCAGTGACGACATAATGCAGCGACGGCCGCCTTGGCCTAAATCCTCATGACAATAGGGCGTTGCAAGGTTGGTGTCATACTCACTCACGCGATATGTTCTGTAAGGGCAGCGAGATGCCTATGGATGTCAAGCAAAGGGCGCCGTCATCATGAGTTGCCCCGCGGTCTCTTTGACAGCTCATGAATCTCGCTGGTAAGTACCAAATATCTAAATTGACATCGAAGATGTTCGGACATCAATAATTTTCGCCGTGTTTCGTTTCGAAACAAATATGCAATTCTAGTCCAGATAATATTGACTCTCTAGTTTTTTAAAATGGCAGGCCCAAATCATCGCGAGTTGCCCGATATCTTTACATATAATGGATGGTCTATAAAGTACGAAACTTGGGTTGGCGAATCTCCTCAACCCACACTGTCAAAGACTTGGGTAGTCTTTGTACACGGTACACCCTGGAGCTCGGTTGTCTTTCGGCCTGTTGCTGGCGCATTGTATGCTACTGGTCGCTTCAACATAGCTCTGTACGATCTTCCCGGATATGGACAGTCGCAGAGTTTTAGCAGCACTTCAGAATCTCGCAAGCCGGACACTTCGGCCAGGGCCCAAGGCAATGCTCTCGCAGCTTTGCTCAAGCACTTGGGTTTGGACGGCAAGGATGGGCATGGCAGACCACACATCGTAGCCCACGATATCGCCGGGGTAATTTCCTTGCGAGCTCACCTTTTGCATGGGTGTGACTATCGTAGCTTGTGCCTGTTGGACACAAATTGTGTCCTCCCCTGGGGCGACAAGCTATATAACCTCGTGCGGTCGGATCCGCACGTATTTGAAGAGCTTCCAGCTGGGGTGTTTGCAGGCTGTCTGCGCGCCATCATCAAGAGCGCACGCTTCCAGGATCAAGGGTTGGGCCCAGAATGGGTGGATGCTCTCGCTCAGCCATGGCTAATGGGCAGCACCAATACCTCTGCTGCCTCGGATCTGGGCGATCTGGACTATAGCCCACAAAAGAACTTTGTCCGGCAGATTCAGCAGGCTGATGACAGCCACACGGCCGAGCTACTCGACAGCAACCTGTATCCTCACGTGCGCTGCGACGTCAAGATCATTTGGGGAGAAGAGGATGAATGGATTCCTTTTGAGAAGATGGAAAAGCTGGCTGAAATGCTGGGCGACCGGCTCCGAGCTTTTGTGACTATTCCGGACGCGGGCCACTTGGTTATGTTGGACCAGCCGTCCAGAGTCACTTTGGAGATTGGACGTTGGCTTGAGCAGCAGTCATGAAAAAAAGTTCATCTGCTATGTATGTATATGCAGAGTGATCGACAAAGTTGTCCTGGCTTCACTGTCGCATTTGGGCCGCAAAGAGCGAGCTAATGGATATTGCCGTTAGTCCTCGATTTGCTGTGGATTATGCAGGAGATCACCTCCGCATTAATGACTCAGCTTATACGAAGTATATTTGGGACCAATAGGAAGACAAGGATCACTGTCAAGAGATGAGCTGGAGTCTGAGTGGTGCAGTACGTAGTTGGCTTGAGTAGCAGATGCCCTAAAAACGAAGAAGAAGAAGAAAACGATGGACAAAAACTTGGGTATTGTCCTGTCGCAACACCAGTGGCAAACTTCCACAGCACCTCTATATTTCACTATAGTCCGGCTTGTTCTACTCTGGGCTATTTTCACCGGAGTGGCTTCCGTAGTGCCGCGATATACACTAGATCAACAAGACCACTCTCAAGACTCTCTCTGTTCCTGAAATTCCACACAGCTATTATATCTGCCAAGTGGCCGCTACGCCACCGTCATGATGACTAACGGACATTAAACCGGGAGCCTTTGCTGGCGCTTTCCTGAACACGGGAGCTTTTATGAAAAGTTCGGCCGACTCGGTTCTCGCTAGAGTTCTGTGGCTATCCCTTAGGCAGTATTTTAGTATGAAGTACTACATGACTTGACTTTTTCGCCCCCACAATCTGTCAACAGGGGACTTGACGACGATCGAGACGTACGTACCTCTTTGCCTTTCCCACTTTCATCGAAGCCCTACGCACTTCAGCCCATCACTTTCCCATTTCCAGAGACGGGATATCGATCAAAATATCGGAAAACTCTGGTATGGTATTCTCATCCTGGTTTAGTCTTATCTCGATACTGACGATCATTAAGGAAAAAATTGGACAAACCTACGAGCCTCTCACATGTGAATATATGGAAGGTCATTTGTAGATCTTGTGGTTGAAATTCCTTGGAAACCAAAAATACCTACCAGTTCGTGGCGTCTCACTTTAACGAGGCTCGAGTCATTCCTCCGCAAGGCCAACGGCAGCCAGCGTATCCGTTGAGCCACCGCTCAAGATCTACAATGGACCGCATGAAAGTCTGATCTCCGAGGCCATCCGTCAGCACCGTCAGGGAACACTTGCGCTCATCATGAGCTCCCCAACGCTCACTACATCTAACCCATTGCGGTATACAGATAGCCAAGGGGCAGGGGAAAAAAACCAGACTTGGAGCACATCCTCACGAACCTAGCATCGCGGCGCTATCGTTGCAGAACATGGCATATCCTGGAGCTTCTGTCAGTTCTATCTGCGTGTGAAAAAGAAATTTCAAAAGAAGAAAAAGAAAGAAGAAAAGGAGAAGAGAGAGATGATCATCGCAGCGTATTCTACTGTAACCACGCATACAAAATTCCTCTTTTTTTTTTCTAGAAAAACAAATCGATGCATTTCGAAACGTACCTTGGTCACATTGAGGATATATTGCCAGTCAACTCAAGAGTACCACAGACTTACTCAGTAGATTGTGTTCCAGAAAAGGTTTAGATATAGTGAGGGTGAGAATTTCCTTCCATCGCAAATATGTAGCCAGATTCATTCATTGGACCCAAGCGACCCGACAACTTGGTTTTGTGATTGCGGCCGCCGTTTCCCTGCAGTTCAGCTGACATCTAGAATCGATACCAGAAATAAAGGGTCTCGACTCTTCTGCAGTAGTAGGGCCCTTTACAATGATCGATCTACACTAAGGAGACGAGGACGTTCTCACTCTTAATTGACTTCATACCACCAGGAGCCGCCCGTTGCTAGCCTCTTCCACGACATGAAGCACTACTCGTGCCACGAGCCAGTCGACCACATGCGTTCCCAATCCTGGGGATTTCGTCAAAGTTTGCGCACAGTCATCATCGCAATAAGCTTCTTCTATGCCTCGTGGTGGTCTTCCTTGTAGGGCTTCATAAGGCAGTTTGGGCCAAGAACTAAAAAGCAAAATAAAGCAGGACGTCGATGCTTGAACAATCATACTTTTTGCTAAATCCTGATGGGGAAAAGAACTGCAGTATCCAGCACTCGAGGACTCAGCTGGCAATATGGACCACAGCGGGCTAGTTGCCTACTGTAATATTACCCCTATAGAAAAATTAATAATCAGAGGAGGGAGGGGATGGCGGAGTTCGGCAGAGATAAGTGCCCTTGCTACTGACAGTGGGCACGGCAGCCCAGAGTGCCTGACACGTACTTGGGGTATCTGAGAGTTTACGCTTGGACGATCCGGCCCTCGGACCTAATACCTCCCACCCAGATTAGTATCCCAACTACGTCTTGCTCTTGACTACTGTCACGAATCCGTTCCAGCTAGCGAGGCACTAGCCCTTTCCATTCCATCGTTCCTCCATGGCCTAGATTTTACATGTAGCGTCCAGAGGGGAGGTATCAAAGAAGAAAAAATCTCGATCGAAGCTAGGTGCCTGGTATATATCATGCAGGAACCCATGTGTTGCCCCAGATGTCTTAGAGTTTACCGTGCCACGTTCTTGCAAGGGTTCGGGCTGTCCTTTCTTTTTTTTTGATATTTTGAAAATTCTTTGTGAGGAGAAGTGAGTATACAGGATGAGCAGCGACCTAGGACTTGAGCGGAACTCTTCGGTAAGTCATATCTGTGTGCTGCTAGGACCCTAGCAGAGAGACAGCCCGTCGTGGTGGTGGTGTCTCAGAGCAAGAGAGGAACAGAGAACAGAGTATCGACTAACGACGTTTCAGTTCCTTACCGAAGTATGGACGCTCTACGCCATCGGAATGACGATTCTCGTCCTCCGTCTGGTGGTACGATTGGTCTCGGTTGGCTGGCGTGGCCTTCGTGGTGACGATGTCTTTGCCGCCATTGTCATGATCATGTACACATGTGATGCTGCAACTGTACACCTCGTCTGTAAGTAGAAACTACACTGCGACAGGTTTATATTTTATAGCCGGATCACTAATTTTGTGTCAAGACTTGCTAGGATCCAACGTCGAGGCCGCCACATATCAGTTGACTCACAGTACGTTGTTGATGTCTATCCAGAAGCCATAGAGTTGGAGCACCGATACTGACCATCACAGCCCTGACCGAGGCTGAAATCGCCCAATTCGAACTCGGATCCAGGCTGCAACTCACTGCATGGTACTCATACACTGCCCTCTTGTGGTGCTTGAAGGGCACTATGTTGTGTTTCTTCCAGCGTATGACAATCGGTCTTTGGCAAGCCCGATTGGTCAAGTACCTCATGTATGCCTGTGTAGTTTCTTATCTTGCCGTATTCTTCACGGTAAGAAGAACCCTCACATCAAAACCATTCGAAACCGGCGCTCATATAGTCAACAGGTTACTTTTGGATGCTTCCCGACCTACAAAAATTGGCAGTAAGTTTACATTCTAGCATTTCCATCTCGAATATACAGAGTCACTAACGATCTGAAAAGGGTTACACCGGATCCAGGACGTAAGCAGTCAAACACCCTGGTATCACTCACTCTACATTTATTGACATGAACTCTTCTTAGTCAAATGCACCTTCAGGATGCAAAATTTCCTTGTTACCGTCGTGCTCAACGTTCTGTGAGTTTTCCATCGCTCTGCATGAAAAATATTTATGATTCATCTTCTAACATTTACCACAGCACGGACGCTGCCATTCTCTGTATTCCACTTCCCTTGCTGTGGCAGCTCCAAGTCCCACTCAAGAAGTAAGTGAAACAATTTCTTTACTTGTGCTATGGCCTCGAACCAGCACCATTTCATTGATGAGCCATGATTGCTAATACACTGCTCGAATTATAGGAAGATTGTCGTTGGTCTCTTGATCTGTTCCGGTTTCTTCGTCATTGCAGCAGCCATCATTCGAGTCGTACTCACTCTCGGTGCCAATCCCAGTGGTACCAACATCAACCGCTGGGGTGTGCGTGAGACCATTGTCGGTATCATTGCAGTCAACATTCCCATCCTCCGCCCGCTATTCAGAAAGACGTTCTGGTCCACCGGACAAATCGCCTCATCCGGCCAAGGCAAGTCCACGACTGGTGGACGAACCCATACTCAAACATATCCTACCGGCCTGGGACCCTATGAAATGGCCAGCAGCGTGAATGAGGGCAGCATGGGTCGCAAGGACCGAGGCAGCTTTGGAGGCAGCGAGGAGTTCATCATTGACAAGGGCGACTCCAACAACTTGAAGCACACTGCCAATGATGTCGTTGTGCAAACAACCTACCACGTTAGGAGCGAGGAGGTTGCATCTGAAAACGGCAATGCATGGAAAAACCAGGGAGCAACATCCAAGGCAACTGCCTACAGAGGAGGTGATGCTGTTTAAGAGGCCGCAACAAAGAAGAACTCTTGGCAGATGGCCGACTACAGGGCGACAATTGGGGGCTATCGATTACCAAAAACAAATGAAGATATCGCCTCAGTACAATAATAACCAAGCAAAATTTAGCTCTTTTGTCATATAATTACTTGGCTGTATTCATAAAGCGTATATAAACAAAGAAAGACTATAATATTAATGATATCAGTATATACACAAACACAACGATATAGTGAAACAGAGACACTATACCCGGTAAGGCAATCCGTTATTGATACTATGCTGCCCTGCCCAAGTCAAGCCTTCAGGGGAAGAAGTCTTAAGAGACCCCTGGGTTGGACCCAGTTTAAAGCAAATGGTTCCAGCCGATTGCCGTTGACAGATGGCCCGAGTAAACGCTTCGTCTCAGGGTCTGATCTGCCGACTTGGACTTTATTGCCTGTCGGCTTACACGCGACATGAAAGAAAAGAATCCGTCTTCATTTGCGACGACGCTGACTGGTCGGACGATTTGGAGGCTGATCGAGATGTTAAACGTTCGATGCACGTCGAGCTAATTGTGGGTCTTTCGCATAGCTCAAATACGAATACGAGAGCCAATCAGGGCGCGCGCAAGACCCCTAATCGTCCTCGCATTGCTCAATCAGAAGGCGCCGTCAACAAATTTCCATTGGCCTCAATCTCAATGCCGCCTTGCTTCATAACTACTAGTACCACCGCCGCCATACCGCCTCCTCGTCCAGAGTGAGAGTGTCTCTCCTTCAACCTCTTTTTTTCTTTCCTTCCCCTCCTTTGTCTCAACCCTCTTCACAAACGAAGAAGGCTGCTCCCAAGTCGATCCAGCTAGCATTCTCATCTCATTTCCGTCTAGCTAGCGAGCAGCATCGATCATCATGGGTCTCTTTGAAGACCTTGCCGGGCCCCTCGCCCAACGGGCCTCTGAACTTTCGACCGCGTCGCAGGTTGGCGCAGCCGCGGCCGCCTTCCTCTTCCTCTCCGTCGTATGGCACATCACGAAGCAGGTGCTGTTCAAGAACCCCAATGAACCTCCCATGGTCTTCTCCTGGTTCCCCGTCGTGGGCAGCACCGTCACCTACGGCATGGACCCTCCGCGCTTCTTCAAGGAGAACAGAGAAAAGTACGGCGATATCTTCACCTTTATCCTGCTCGGCAAGAAGACCACTGTCTACGTTGGTACTCAGGGCAACGACTTTATCCTGAACGGAAAGCTCAAGGATGTCAATGCCGAAGATATCTACTCGGTTCTGACTACTCCCGTCTTTGGCAAGGACGTCGTCTACGATTGCCCCAACGCCAAGCTCATGGAGCAGAAAAAGGTCCGCCGCAACTCTCGCTCGAGGTTTTTCCGTCTTTTACTGACAATACTTTCTACAGTTCATGAAAGTCGCCTTGACCACCCAAGCTTTCCAGTCCTATGTTCCCATCATCGCCGACGAGGTCGCTAGCTACTTTAAGAAGAGCTCCGACTTCAAGGGCAAGTCTGGCACTGTCAACATTCCTCCCAAGATGGCCCAGCTCACCATCTTCACCGCATCGCATTCACTCCAGGGCAAGGAAATTCGCGACAAGTTTGACGAGTCGCTGGCCGATCTGTACCACGACCTCGACATGGGATTCAGCGCCGTCAACTTTATGCTTCACTGGGCTCCTCTTCCCTGGAACAACAAGCGGGACTACGCTCAGCGCACCATTGCCAAGATCTACATGGACACAATGAAGGAACGTCGCGAGACGGGCAAGACTGACGGCCAGGACATGATGAGCCACCTCATGCGCTCTCAGTACAAGACTGGTGTCACTCCCCCTGATCACGAGATTGCCCACATGATGATTGCCCTCCTCATGGCCGGCCAGCACTCGTCGTCGTCTACCAGCTCCTGGATCATGCTCTACCTTGCTGCTCGCCCCGACATTATGGAGGACCTTTACCGTGAGCAGGTTGAGAACCTCGGAGCCGACCTGCCACCTTTGAAGTACGAGGATCTTGCCAAGCTGCCCCTGAACCAGAACATCATCAAGGAGACCCTGCGACTCAATGCCCCGATCCACTCCATCATGCGTGCCGTCAAGCAGCCCATGCCTGTTCCCGGTACCAAGTATGTCATTCCTACCGACCATGTTCTTCTCGCCGCGGCTGGCGTCTCGGCTACGGATCCGCAGTACTTCCCGGAGCCTGATCTGTGGGAGCCGCACCGTTGGGACAAGGACCACCCTCTCTCTCCCAGGATCTCCCAGACCCAGGGCGACGAGGAGGAGACGATTGATTACGGATACGGATTGGTCAGCAAGGGTTCTCAGTCCCCTTACCTGCCCTTTGGTGCCGGAAGGCATCGATGCATTGGCGAGCACTTTGCCAATGTGCAACTCCAGACAATTGTGGCCATGGTTGTTCGCGAATTCAAGTTCAGAAACACAGACGGTAGCAACACGGTCATTGGCACAGACTACCAGTCGCTGTTCTCTAGGCCACTGGAGCCAGCCAACATTTACTGGGAGAAGCGAAACCCATAGATCCGTGGCGGCTATACATCAAGTTTTTGAACTCTTCATGTATATACATTGGGCTTCCTAAAGGCAAAAAGACATGCCACAATGAAGGATAGAAGCATAGAAGCGCCACTAGCATATAATTAATAGTAATGAACACGAAATCAATGAAATAAGATAAAAAGATATTGGAAATCAATGGCTTTTTTTATTTACCGAGTGCCTAGTACAAGGCCATACATAACCTCGGAGGTGTTGCTATAGAGAAATGCCCGAAAGCCTGAACTTCCGCGCCAGCCTTTGGGTGTCAATGCGTGTAACCTTGGGCAATCCAACAATCCTCAACATTTGATATCCTTGTTGAGTAAGGGATGAGTTGGCTGATCTTGCATCATTGACATTATTTATGATATGCAGACAATTAAGAATCGAGAAAACTTATTAGGTCATCTCAGACTTTTGATACTTTAATTGATGTTTGGGCTCGTTAGCCGCATCTGTCAGAAAAAAAAAAAGCTTATATGGTTCAGGGCAGGGTCGCCAAGACCCTTGCATAGGTGACGCGCAGAAGACATGAACGGGCCGCCACTACTCACAACACTGTCTGAAACGATCGATGCACTCTAAATATTTCGCAATTGTTTTCTCCGTGTGTACATATATATGACACATTTTCTTCCCCCATCACAGAAAGATCGTTCCTTATATTTGCCATTACCACCATTGTATTATTCTTCGTCTTGGACTCATTGGTTGATCAAAGTAAGCTGCCATTGGACGCGACTAATTGAGCTTCTGGGCGGACTACGAAGTGTACCTCCTACGCATCTATTGAAGTGTCTCGCTTTTTCTTGGGGCAGAAGCAACCCAGCCGGTATAGAGAGAGAGAGCTTGCTCTACTCGCTTGTGATACGTGCCAATCATTGCGCAGCCTGATCTGGGCTTTGTCCAAGATATAAAAAAATCCCACGGTCATCAGCCTGCTACACACACCATCGAAGGGGATGTCGTCACCACCCCTCGTCCGCCTATCCGGCATCCCCCTCTCACGTCTTCCACCACCAGACGCGAGCCCGGATGTCCTGACACCCTTTATACACGACATTCTGCGCGAGGCGCTGCCCTTTCTCATCAGCGCCTCCTCTTCTCCCAGTGGTCCGGACCGGAAGCTCTGGAAACACAAGGGCGACAAGACGTCGCCGGACTCGACGGCCAAGGTGGAGGCCTGGGAGCGTACGGTTCACGTCGAGGGGGGGAAAGCAGGGGCTTCTTCTGGAGAAGAAGCCGGCAGTGGTGGTGGCGGCGGCGCCAAAAAGGAAAAGGAGACTTGGGCGCTGCGCCGAAGCGTCCACGAGGACCGCGCCGAAAAGGGCACGGCGAGCTGGGCCGAGTTCGAGGTCTGCTTTCGTCACCAGCACGCCGAAGCCGAAAAGGCCTTTACACCAAATGTGCAGGTTGGTAATCGCTGCTGTTTCTTTCCCCTTTTGGCATGTCTTTGGGGGGTTATGACTCGGACATTGCTTTGTCCGTTTCCCAACGCGCGTCAATTTACTTGTTGATTAGCTCCTTTACGACGCGAAATGAGCAGTGACTGATACCCTTTTTGTTGAGTAGGGTACGCACGAGGCACTGGTGTGGGATTGCTCTGGTGTGCCGGCCTTTTTTGAGGGAGGTGGAGGTGATGACAAGGGCACAACAATAGCATGGGCGAATTTTGGCCTCAAGGTCGAGGAGATGCGACACAAGATTGGCAGGCCAGTACTCAAAGATCGTACGTTTCCAGTTTTACAGTTGACCGCAGGGGCTGTTGCTACTGCTACTGCGACAACGACAACGACGACCGGGGTAGGAGGAGAAAATCATCAGCCTCAACAAGATTTCATCGTCGTCAGTATTCCCGTGCCCGACTTTGGGTCGAGTGAGAACAGCAAGCTCGCCAAGGAAAGCGGCGCCCAGGTCGCGCTCTACGTTAGTGTTGAGCGTATCCGAAAGCTTGCCGCCTCTTCTTCTCCTCCCCAGCACGATGGCGGCAACAATAACGGCGGCAGTATCGAGTGGATCATGGCGACGGCTAGCGACGCCGGTGGTGTACTGCCCCAGTTTGTGCAAAACGTGGCCATGCCGGGCGTCGTGTGGAAGGACGTGCCGCTCTTTCTTGGATGGATCGCCAAGGAGAGGCAGGGCGGCCGGGATGTCGCGAACGACGGGGTGACAGGCGATAATAGCAGAAAAAAGACCAATGGAAAGTAAGTTGGCGAGTCTACAGTGGCGACGGGCACGGCGCCGGTGGTCACGACGGGACAGTCGGTTGAGACTGCGCCCGAGCTATCAAAAGTTACGGCAATCCATGCCCCCGTCAAGACTTCTCACATACCAATTCATACAATTCAGCCTGAAAGAGAAAGCCGCCAAGAAGAATGGGTCAACAACAGTCGCGATAATGTGGATGAGGAGTTTCTATGCGGCGGTGCTTGAGCTTGATTTTGGCAGCTGGCGTGAACACAATGGCGCCCGAGTGCTGTTCGCATAATTGTGGTTCATTATGATCAGAAGCCTTTTGTTTTCGAACTCACTCTTATATTTACTTTTTCTAATTTCGTGTAATATGGATTTGTATGGGCGAGTAGGACCTAGTAGAGGCACAGGCGCTCCAAGTCATTCGTGGTAGTTGTGAGGGTCATCAAGTCATGATTGCCATCTATGTATGACATATTTCTATACAGCTTACAGGACTAATCAGAGTCACTGTCGGCACTGGATGAGAAACCATTCCATTCCTCCTCGGTATCCTCGGCGAGCAACTTTGCGTTTTCATCCACCGCTTCAGCCTCGTCCTCGTCATCTTGCTCCTCAATGTCAAATGTGCCGCAAATGTCCCAGCGATCACCTGGCGCCTTGCGACTCACGTACTTGACAAACTTGAGGGTACCGCTGTCCCGAAGGACAATGGTCAGCTTGTTCCACGATGCAGCCTGGAAGAAGAGTATGTTGTCTTCGTCGCCACTGGACTTGTAAATGGCAGCGTCCTCGGCCGTATCGTCATCGCCTGCCATGTACACCTCGTGGCCACCAACCTCTTCGGGCTCTTCGGCGGGCTCCTCCTTGGCCTTGCCTTTACCCTTGTCTTTGCCTTTGCCTTTGGTCTTGGGCTTCTCCTCTTCCTCCTCCTCCTCCTCCTCTTCTTCAGCGTCATCGCCCCACCCCGAAGTAGGCGTGATGCCCAGATTGAGCTCTAGACGAGGCTTGCCTTCGTGGCCGGTAGCTAGCGTGTAGTCCTTGCCCTTGCGGAATCGGCGTGCAATGATATCATGACTTTCAATGACACTGCTCGTGGCCATTTGTAGCCAGCGACGGAACTGGGGACTTGGCAGAAATACGTCCAAGAGTTCTCTAAGAGGCGAGTCATCCTTTTCAGCCTTGCGACCCTTCTTTGGCTCTTTCTGGGACTGCGTGAATAGGTAACGCTGCTTGTGAGGAGGCTTGGCGACTTTCCAAGCACCTTTTTCAATCTCCGCGCTTGATTCTGGGAGGGCTTTGCCATCTTGCTCGGCCACATAGTCGCGAAGACGCTGACCAAACTTCTTGTTGAGGAGGTCTGGCAGTGTAATGCTAGAGTCCTCGTCAAAGTGCTCTTGGACTTGTTCTAATGTATCGGGCGTAAGGTATGTCGGTGCCATGTACTTGAGCAGGAACTCGAGGTCGGCTTCATCAAAGTCTTCGGGCGAGCTCGCTTGCGGCTTCTCAACCTTGACGGGAGACCACTTGGGTTCGTCGTACTGGTCGGGATTGCCTTGCAGCTGCATCAGACTGCTGTTCTTTGCGTTCTCCTCTTCGGCGCCCTTGATGTAGCCCTCCTCGCCGATTTGCGGAATGTGGAACCAGCCACTAATGGCCATACGGATTCTGCCGCCCTCCTTCTTGAGCTGCTTCTTTGTCTCTGCGTGGTATACCTCCTCGACATCGTGGAAACTCTCGCCAGGTTGCACGGCGAAAAAGCTCAGCTGGTTCCAGGCAGGCGGAATGATCTTGGACACGTCGGCCTCGGGCGTCTTGGCGACCTTGCCGTCTTTGCCTTCTCGGTTCTGGACTGGGAATAGCCTCAATGCGCCACCCCATTCCGGTTTCCACGGGACGTCGGGGTCTGTGAGATACAAGATATAGCTGACTCTTCGACTGCCGATGACGTCGTCATGACAGAGGAGAAAGCAACCCGGAGTGTAGACATTGATGGCCATGTCAGTCTTTCGGCCGCTCAACGGGCCGCAGCCGGTGATGTGTGCAACGTAGTCGCGGAACTTCTTTGAGTACATGGCATCTCTGAGGGACAGCAAGGAGGGCAGCTTCTGGAGAGCCTCGTCGCCAAGGCCGTCCAGGTTGGCCAAGTCTCCAGACTGGTGGATCTTGTAAATGTCCGTCTCCTTGGGGGTGAAGGAGACATTTTCCTTGATCTCTTCCCGGACCGAGCGCAGTAATTTGTCGTTGATCAGCTCGTTGATGACGCAGTGCTTGTAGGGCTCGGAGTCGGCATATTGTTTCGTGTACGAATCTAGAATATCTTGGTTCAAGAGTCCTTTCCGGAATCTCGCAGCAACCTCGTCATCGCTCAAGGCTAGCATGCAAAGGTTAGCATCGCGCATGTCGCAACTGCTGTAGTGGCCGACTTACAAGGCTTGGACTTCTTCTTGCTGGGACTTCGACTGGCAGTCTGCGCTTCCGCCTTGCGCTTCATGTTGAAATGCCAATTGGGTTTCTGGGACTATGCAAACAATAGAAAAGACCAAGATTGGGTATATGACAAGTACGCGACAAAGGGAAAACCGGCCAATGCCTAGAGCTGATAGTCGGACGATCTTCAAATATTTTTTTAAACTCTCATCGAACGATGGCAGAATAATCTCCCACCCACTACTACGTAAAGCTCTTGTGGGGCAATTTCACCGCCCTAACCTTAGCCCAACCAACCTACCTGGATCAGACCCTGGTGCTAACCAAGGCAAAATGTGAGAGTGCCCAGCAGCCAGGTGCGCCCCCCATTCGAGACCTGGGACCAAGGATTCATTCAGTTAAAACTTGCATAAATAGTGAAGCGCCCGTCTCGCATCGGCGACATGCCGTTGGAGCCTCGAATTAGATATAGGCGGTTGCGTGCAGGACATTTTTCAATGCCGTCTTATGCAAATCATTCCTTTTATGGTCCCGCCATCTACGGCTGCATGTGCTGTTGGCCCTGAGCTGACATGGCAAAGCGCTTGGATTTGGAAACCAGCCGTTTCTTCAAATTATTATGGTTTACTAAGAAAAAGCTTAAATTTATTTCTCAAAAACTTATTTGTCGATTCGAAAGAGCTGGTCGGTTTCCCAATCCGAGCTCCTTTGCATGATTAAAACTAGAGACTGGCCAACATGGGCGGCTACGCAGTGATGCTATAATAGGTGCGCGGCTGCACACACAGAGAGTGAGTGAGAGAGAGAGAGCCAAGCTCAGCTCGCAACGTATGGTAAGCGCACTCGGGAAGTCCATTTATCATGCTTTAATGCATCAAGCGCTGTGCCATAGGTCCTTGGGTACGAATATCACAGAATATATTATTTTTTGCAGTCGAAGGTGGTGAAATGAACATGAACAGCAGCTATTCGTTTGTCAAGAAAAGGGAAGAACTCTCTTATAAGCGTTTCTAACGCTGTATTCCCTCCATAGCTATATTAGCTATCTAGATATATACTTCGAACGATTGTTCTGGAGACAACCGACGCAACGACTTAGCATGCCGATATGACTCGGTCGATGGCTTTTATAATACCCTTGACTTCCTCCACTATCGAACTAGTCAGAGAAACTTCTTTATTATAGATGTAGCTGATGATGAACTTACCAGTGTTGTAATGCACCATGCTGATCCGCACAACCCCGTCACTTTCCAAGCCCAACAGTTCATGGGCCAGGCGGTTGGAGTAGAAGCTTCCCCAGCGGAACGCATAGTTGCCGTCCTTTTCGACCTTTTCGACGAGCTCTTGGGAGTTCCAGCCCTTGACCACAAAGCTGACCGTGGGCACCCGGACGGCCGGATCGGCGCTCGTCTCGCCGAGCACAGTGACGTCGTTGCGCGCGTTGAGGTACTCGAGCAGCGTCTGCTGCAGCTCGGCCTCGTGCGCCCGGACGCCGTCCCAGGTTGCCGATCCGGTCCCGGGTCCCAGGTATGCGAGGACGGCGGGGACCGACTGCAGTAGCTCGTAGGAGCCGCCGGCGAGGCCGAGCTTCTCCTCGAGGGTCTCGCCCTTTTTGAAAAAGTGGCCCAGCGACCGCATGGCCCCCGAGTCCTGTGCCTTCCGCGACGCATATAGCATGGATATGTGTGGGCCGTACACCTTGTACCACGAGAAGCAATAAAAGTCGACGCCGAGGGCGGCCACGTCGAGCGGACGGTGCGGCGCATACGCCACGCCGTCGACGCAGACCAGAGCCCCGGGCACCTTGTCGTGGACCGTTTTGGCGACTGCTTGCACGTCCGTAATGGTCCCCAAGATGTTGCTAGTGTGGGTGCACGTCACCAACCGGGTCCGGGGGCTTAGGAGTGCGTCCAGGTCCTCGGGGAGGAGCTTGGGGTTATTGGACTTGGCTGGTGTCCACCACTTGAGGGTCAGCTTCTCACGAGAGGCGAGATCTACCCAGGGCGCAATGTTGGCTTCATGATCAATGCTGGAGATGACGATCTCGTCTCCCTCTTGGAATTGTAGCGAGTATGACAAGTTGCGATATAGCTGGGTTGTTGCAGAGCCGAATACTGTTCATTGTCAGTGTCTGAAAATATATGAATGCCAAAAAGCCTGAAGAAGATACTGAAGCAAAATTCAAGCACCGTGGGTGATGGACCTCCTTATCCCGCTCTCAGTCTTATTCTGAAAGCTGAACATTGGCTTGTCGATATTCATCGGTACTCACCAATCTCGTCTTCCTTTGCATTTATGAATTTGGCAGCGGCAGCAAAGCCATCATTGTATTTCTCAGTCGACAGTTTACCAACACGGTAGCTAGCACCAAGCTGAACATTGTTGGTAGTCAGATATTTGTATATGCTGCGCTTAGTGATTAGCTACTGTTCCGTCCACAGCCCTTTCCTCTCAGATGCTGCTGGGTGCACACTTACGAGTCAATGACGGTGCCCAAAGTTTGACTTCCGCCCGCATTATCAAAGAAGACTTGGTCCTGTTGTAGTGCCGGGAAAGAGGATTGGACATTATTGATATCGAAGGAAGCCATTATGCTTGGTGTATACCGGGATGTAGTCAAGACACGTACTACGAATCGGAGATGCGATGGTTGGAAAACAACAACTGAATATTCAAGGACTTTGGATAGATTTACGCCCAAAAAGAAAAGAGACACGCGAACACAAGAGTCTTGGATCACCCGGAAGAGAGAGAACAAACACCCGATAACTCAACAAGGACGAGTGGGTTTCCTCTTCAAGCAGTCCATGTAATTGATACCTTTTCCCCGCAGGCGAACTCAAAGTGATGAAGTGGTTAGTGGGGTTGCCTATACTACATTAGCTCGATACAATTCAAGATCATTATTTCTCCTCCAACCAACCAGATGCCAGACTATTCTTTTACAAGACATTCTTCGTGAACCGGATATTGTCGGTATCCTATACCACCAAGGCTCAGCTGTTGTGCAAGTACATCTAGGATATATCGAATCATTACAGTATATTCCTGGACAGTCCACTGCGAGTGATTTGGACTGTCAGCCATCTACACTGAAATACATACGTCATTTTCACCAACGCTGCCTACACGATACTGCGTCTTATACATGTCTGGTCTATCAGAACACGATAAGCAACCATCCGCGAATGTACAAAATACGACGATCCGGTACAGTTGATACCTTTCAATGGTTCGATCTTCTTGGGTCTCGAAGTGGCTTTGTGCATGGGACCATTATACTACATCACTATCTACCAAGTTTATAGCTGCGCAGACTTGGCATTGACAGTATCTCTCAGCAAAGCAATAACCTCGCTGGGATCCTTGGCGCCAAACACGGCACTGCCAGCGACAATGACGTTGGCGCCAGCATCGGCAGCCTGGCCGATCGTGGCCGGGCCCAGTCCACCATCGACCTCAATGTTCAGCTCGGGATACCTCTTCCTCAGCTCCTGGACCTTGGGCAATTCCGACGCCATGAACTTTTGTCCGCCAAAGCCGGGCTCGACCGTCATGATGAGGACCATCTAGGATCAATATGTGTCAGTCTCTGTTTCCTGTGATCTGGCAGTTCCCTTTCCGCCTTGCCCTGGCACACCACCAAAGTATATTGCATGTCAAAAGGACTTACATCCGGTCTCTCCTTCTCGTCGGGGCTCTCCAAGATCTCCGTCAGCACCTCGACACCCGTGGCGGGCTTGAGCGCAATACCGGCCAGCAGGCCCTGGTCGTGGATGTACTTGATCAGCTCCTTGGGGTTGGTCTTTCGGTCGCTCTCGCCCTCGGGGCTCTCGGCGTCGCTCGAAAAGGCGGCCTCGTAGTGGAAGCAGTACAGATCGCAGCCGACATTTTTGAATTCCTTGACCCATTTCTTGGGCTATTCAATGGTGGGGAATTCCCCCCTTCTTGTCAGCATAAGATGGTTTGTACCCAAGGGTTGCCATGCGGGAAGTAGGGAAGATTCCCGATAAAAGCAGCAGGTCCCCTTACCTCGGCGATCATCATGTGGCAGTCAAAGGTGCCCCGACCGTACTTGTTGGTCGGCTTGTCGACGTGCTTTCGGATCTTGGCCACGACTGGCGGGCCAAAGGTCAGGTTCGGCACAAAATGGCCGTCCCTACGATGATCAACATGTCAATCGCTCTCGTTGCTCGCTTTTCGTATTGGGGAGGAGATATGTGGCTTTTCGTCTTATTCCCTTGACTTTGGCCGGACGTGATGGCGGAACCAGAAATCCTGCGGTGCGTCCTGCTGATTCTTTCGGGCGCATAGGGAACGTGCAAATGAAGCCTTACATGATATCGACATGGAGCCAGTCGGCACCCTGATCCATCGTCTTTGCGCAGTCGGCTCCAAGCTGCGCAAAGTCGGCCGACAGAATGGACGGCGCAATAATCGCTTTCGGTGCCATGGTGATTATTTTGTTTCGGGTGTGAATCAAGTAGGAGAAAATCACGCGATTGTGAGCAGTCTCTGATATGTACACAAAATTTGGCAAAACAATTGAGAGATATGCTGGTACTATTTGACAACAAAAATGTCCCATCATCGCGGGGCATTCGGAGCTCTTTCTCAGTTAAAGTGGGGGGTGACGCGGGGCACGTTTCGAAGCGGCTTCGGCCGGCGTCTGTTGAAGACATTCCAAAAACGTGACGTCCAATCTTACAAGAGGAATTGACGAGAAATATCACAGCCAATATTATACCTGTTCCCACATCTATTCGATCCGTTCTTCACTGGATACTTCCCATGACGAATCATTTCAAACCAGATCAAAGCATGTGGAACAATGTGACTAGACTGCTCGAATCAAATGCTATATTTCAAGTCAAACTTCTATTGACGCCCATGCCATAACTTTTGATCATGAATTACGTAGTAGCATTAGATGTACAGTTGATCCGCTGACGCAGAGTCAATACCTTATACTACTGCCTGGTTTAAACAAGTCATCTATTCCTCGTCGTTCGCCTCAACAATGACGGGCTCCTCGTCATCGTCGTCGAAGCTGCCAGCAGGAACCTCGTACAGTCTCAGGATGGACTTGTTGGGGTCCTTGACAAGAACGAACTTGCCCTCCTCGCGCTTGAGACACATGTCCGCAATCGTGCGGACAATACCCCAACCGTTGGACAGAGACAAGTTCATCTGGTTGGCAAAGTCACGGGGCTTCCAGCCGATAACGCCCAGAATGACGTGCTTGTCGTTGGATTTGGGGTTGGCACGAGAAACGAAACTAGAGGTAAAATTAGCATGCAATACAAATTAGGAGGAAGAAAACCGGTGATTACATACCCAACCTTCATCACATCAGCCTTGGAAAGAATACTCTGGACCGTCCATCGGGCAAGCTTGACGCTGTTGTTCTTCATCTCAGTAGCAACGACAGCACCACGCTGGCTGACGAGCTTGGTTCTCCAGTCCAAGGCACCACCGCTGCCCTGTGCCTTGCTGTCAAACTCGTTGAGAGCCTTGATGGTCAGGTGCTGGTCATCTCCGCTAATAGCGTTCTTCTGAACGGCGTCCAGCTCAGTTCGCACGATCAAGTACATGGGCTCCTCCTCGCTCAAAGACAGGTCGAATCTCCTGTACTTGTAGGCCTTGCTAGCCGGGGGCTCAGACTCCTCGGCGGCATTGTAGAAGGGGTTGGCGTGAGGCATCTCCACCTTGGAGTCACCCTCAACGACAACCTGGTTGGCAAAGTTGTGGTTGATGTAGGTGGCTTCCTCGGCGAGAGCAGCAGGCGAGTTGATACCATCCTTGGTTCCATCGGCACCCTCGTGCGGCGCGTCGGCAGCGTTCTCGTTCACAGTGACCATGTCAAGGGCAGCATTCTCGCGCTTGTCCATGAAGATCTTGTTGCCCTGTCGCACAATGACAATGTCCCAGGGGTAGATGGATCGAGGAGCACACATCAGCATGGAAAGAATGCTGTCAGTGGCAAAGATGGTAGCCTCATCCTTCTCGGCCAGTTCCTGGATGACAGGGTCTGACGAAGTGGTGACATTGTATGTGGCGCGGTCGATGGCTGTAAGCCTCTTCTCGCCAGACTTGACGGTAGTCTTGTCATATGAGCGGTCATAGTAGTTCAGGAAACCGTAGCTATCCATATCCTCACCCTCGTCGGTATCCAGGTTGAGCTTGGCCAGTCTGTTGAAGTCGATCTCCTCGATAAGCTTCCAGTCAGGCTTGACGTTGATGCTGGCATCCCGGTTTCGCTGAGGCTTGTCGTAGTCCTTCCAGCCGAAACGGCGGCCACCCCGGGGAGCGCTCTGGCGTCCACCACGGCTGTCGTAGCCGTAGCTCTGGGCACCACCACGACGTCCAGCGGTGGTAGGCTGGGCGCGTCCACCTCTGGTATCGGTGCGAACACCGCCGCGTTGACCACGGCCACCTCGGGTGAAAACAGCGCCACGGCCGTATCGTGTCTTCGTAGGCTCTCTGCTGACAATGGAGAAGGAGGACTCGTCCTCGGCGATAGGAGCAGCGAAAACCGGCGCACTTCCGGCTCCGTAAATCTGCTGGTCTGCGGATTTCTCTCGTTAGTCTGGTACTTTGAGAAACACGCCCAAATCCTCCCAGCAAAATGCTCGACTCGTCCTTTTCTGGGCCACTACGTCTCCTTCGCGTGGGAGAAGGCCCGGCGGGTTGAAAGTATGTGCATGTTTCTTACCTCTGTAGTTGCGCTGGTACTGCTGTCTACCACCACGCTCGCTCTTGCTGTCAGCCGTCCAGTCGGCCATGCGACCCAGCTTGTCGCCCTTGGAGAAAGGTGCGTAGGGGACACCGTTCAAGGTTGTCTCGGTGGTGGTGGGCGGGCCCCATCCATCCTCAGCCGGCAGAGCGGCGATGAGGTCGGCCAAAGAAGCCATGTTCGAACGCTAGGTATCGGTACCGACAAGATGAGTACTTTTCCGGGTTGACACCGTGGTGCGAGATAGCGTTTGGTTTGCTGTTGCTCTGGATCGCGATGCGCCCACACAAATTCTCGCGGTTGCTTGAATTTCTGTCAATATTTCGCCTTTGGTGGGGTTCTAGAAATGGTGGGGCGAGTAGAGCCCAAGTGCCTGGCTGTTATTGGAAAGGATGTATAGTGCACATATACAGAGGTCGCTCCCAAAAGTCTTGAGTGCCCCCACTTATTCAATTGACTACCCACACTAGTGCCAGCCAGCTGGCACCAACTTGACAGCTGCTAATCAATTACAATAGCACCCTCCCGGACCCTGTTACTTAGTAAAAATGCTACCTCCTTTGCAGTTAACATATCGTTAGAATCCTCCTATTGAGCGTCCTCATTAACCTCCATTTGCAACTTCCGAATCGGGACTTCCTAGTCAGTTTCTGGCCTATTAGGGCGCGGGGCCCTGCCCTTTTTATACTCGTTGCCACCTTTTAACCGTATAATTTTTTGGATGTAGTGTGGGATCCTCTTAATCCATGCCCGGACTAGTTTTATAGGCAGTTCACTTTATACCTTTTTTTAAATTTATATAGCCTCTTTTTTATTTCCCGGCTTTCCTTTTTTAGAAATCTTTCGTTTTATCTAAAACTAATAAGGCTTTATAGCATTTAAATTAGGTGAATTGCTAAGCTATAAAAGCTTAAATATATTTATTAAGCTATAAATTCGTTGGTTAAATTAGTGCCTATGAGCAGGTGCACCGTCCTTTTAGATTATTATATTTTTCCGTTGTGTTTTAAATCGATCCCGAAAAGGAAATAATTTAGGTAATAGGACCTTTTAGCGATATTTATATTAATCGATTCCTTTTTTCCTAATTTTAAATAGCTTTTTAATTGTGGCTTTATAATTCTACGTAGCTATTTTCGTAAGCTTATTCTTTAAGCTTATATTTTTTATAATAAAATCTTATTCCTAAATGGTTTTTATAATTAGCTTAAAGTCTTAATTCCATTTATTAACTATTGCACGGATGTTAATATAGCATCGTATAATGCATAAAATTAGCTTTATAACGCATATTATATCGTTATAATAGCTATAAAACCCATCGAGATATCGTTAAATAACGATATATGGGAAATCAGTGGAACTTACCCTGTATTAACTTATAGTCAGTACAGCACCACTTACAGCCATTATTCACAGTGCTGTACAGTCAATAAGTCATTGTAGTTGATTGTTGTGGCCACTATGGCCACTGGAACCCACTGGAATCCAGTGGAACGTTCCACTGGATCAAGCCCCACTAAGTGTGGCCAGTGCACCTGGCCACAGTGGTCCCAGGGTTACAAGGTAACCCACACTATAAAAATCTATAGATTTCGATGATTTCTTCGATTATAAATTAACCTTATTACTAATTAACTTAATTATAAATCCAATTTATTAGTAATATATTCTAAAATATTTTTATTAGTTAATTTTATAGGTATAAAAAGTAATTATTCCTCCGTAGTTAGTTATTCTTTCCTTAAGCTTCAATAAATTAGTTATATAGCCCTATAACTACCCTCCACGGCCTAATTTTACGAATTATATAAACGCTTCCCTATGCCTAAATTTATAATCCACTAATTATACCTTAAAACAGGTTATAAGCCCGGTCCGGTATAATATCGATTATATTAGGAACCGGACTTTATATCGAAAACTATAGCCGCTCTCCTAAACGAATTAATTTAACGTAGATTTTGGAATTCCGTTATAATAGCCGATCCTTTATAGGCCTATATATAAGCCTATATAAGCCGTAATTATATCGAAAACTATAGTTAAATAGCTAATTATAGTAATTTTACCCGTTATAGCCATATAACGGCTATAAAATTACTTATAACTAATCCTTATTATAGTAACCGATCTGTTATAGCACCTTATAGCATTTGCTATATTATATTATAGCACCTGGATCTTTTTATATACTTTATCGATAAAATAAAAGAATTAATTTTTTTTATTTTTATTTTTCTTAACGATTTTTTTACCGTTTTTAACGATAATTATACCGTTATAACGGCAAAAATTCGGCAAAATGGATAATTTTATCCGTATTATTGCCGGATGCTAAATGCCGGAGAAATAGAAATTTTCCGGATCCGAAAACTAGAATACGTGGAAATCCACGTTACAGTTATATCTTAAACTGCTAAAAATCGATCGGTTTTTTAAAACTACCGATATATATAACGGCATAACCGATATTTAGAAAGCCTAGGCATTGCTTTTAATTCGTTAAAATTTAATAATAAAACCGTTAAATTTAATATTCGATAAAATAAATCTATATAAAGCCTTATCGATTTTATAATTAGCTTATTAAGGTACCGGACCCGTATTATATTAGCAATTATATTTCGAATTTTATATTATTAAATTCGAAAATTATAATTCGTTAAACGAATTTATATCTATTTTTAAAGGATATATTTTAAAGCTTTTAAGCGTTAGGGCTAAAATCGATAATATCGATTAAAAAACGATTTTTATTACAGCCTTCCAATTAGCTTACCCTATATAGGCTAACCGTTAACGCAGTATTTTACGGTTTATAAATTTATTTACCCTCGAAGGGTTAATTACGGATATTTTGGATAAAAACCGACGGGATCCGGATACGGCTATGGGAAATTTTTATTATACGGATAATAAGAAATCCCGGTTCCCCCAATCTAATTAGAATTAATAGGGAACCTAAAGCGGAAATAAGAAGAATTCGAATAAATCGAATAAAGGAAAAAAATCGAATAATTCGAATAATTCTAATAATTCGAATAATTCGAATAAATCGAATAACTTAAATTCGACTATATTTATTATAAACCAAAAATTTAAAAAACGGGGAAATTTACCCCGTAACAAAGATTCGGACGAAAACGAATCGTTTTATGCTTTTTCGAATATTTCGAATAATTTAAAAAAAAAATTAACCACCTTCCCTAAAAATTAATAATTATACGATACGGGTTTTTTAAAGCATATATCGAATAATAAGAATTTATTCGATAATTTTATTATAAAATCGGATTTTTTACCGATTATTATAAATAATAGAAAAGTATTTCTAAAAGGAATTGGAAATATTACGCTTTTTTTCGAAATTAACCGGGAAATACGTAAAATAACGTTATTAAACATATTTTATATACCGGAATTTCCGCTAAATATTATATCCGGCTAATTATATTACTAAAAAGGCGGTATTATAAACGGGAATAAATTATATAATTCCAAAAACAGGCTTTTTGCTACGTTAAATTAAAAAAAACGTAGATTTTTCCTGCATTTAGCTAATAAGTTAGAGCCTAATATAATATATTTAGCTATAAATCCACTAAAAATAGTAGAAAAAGCCCGTATAATCGGTTTAAATTACCCGGAACCGAATTCGGATACGAAATCTAACGAAACCACGGATTTCGAGGAAATCGAATTAATTTCTAATTATTCGAATTTTTTTATAGCTACGGAAAAATGGTATAAACGATTTAGCCACCTTAGCTATAATATTTTAGCTAAAATAGCTAAAATAATTACGGGGATTCCTAAAAAGGAATTAAAAAAGGAGGATTTAAATTACGAATTTTATATTTCGGGAAAATTCACCCGAAACCAACCTTATACAAATCCGAATAGGGCTAATAAACCGTTATATTATATTTATATTAATACGGTTTATATTACCCTTTTTAGCTATTCCGGTTATAAATATATAATTAGTTTTACGGATAATAAAACCGGATTTTAGGAAATTGAATTTTTTAAAGAAAAATCCGATATATTTAATATCGTAACAAATAAAATCAAATATTATAAAACCTAATTCGGAAAATATCCGAATATTATTTATATAAATAACGGTAGGGAGTTTTCCCTAGTTAAATTAGAAAATTATTTAACCGAAAAAAGGATTATTTTCGAATTTATAACTTTTTATATATTAAAATAAAACGGTATAGCCGAACGTATAAACCGGATTATTATCGAAAAAACTAGAACGGTTTTTATTAATTTATAACTCCCGAAAAACCTCTAGGAATTCGTTGCAAAAATAGTGGTTTATTTAATAAATTTCACTGCTACGGCATCCGGTCCATTTACCCCCTATTAGGAATTTTACGATTATTTCTGGCTAAAAAGGGATAATACGCCTGATTTATCCTAAATCTATGCCTTAGGAATACCGGTTTTAGTTTATAAACCGAAAAAAATCCGTAAAAACTCCGATAAATTCGGAGTTATTACCGAAAACGGGAAAATAATTAGATATAACGGTAATAAAATTTATTACGTATATCTTCCCGATCGACCGTATAAATTATAAATTATACGGACCTCCTATATTCGATTATTACCTAAAAATCGAAAAAAAGGGGAGAAATTACCGGATTCGGAATTACCGGATTAGGAAATAATACCGGATAAAAGTTCTACCGACGGTAAATTTATTTAATTAATAGTCCCGAAAACGGTAGATTTAACGAATCCACCTCCCGGAAACGATCGAATTTTTCGATTTATTACGAATAAGTCCATAATTAACGATCGACCGGATTTACCCGGAAACGAATCTAATATAGATAATAAATCTAGTATAAATTCCGAATTTATAGATATTAATAATACTTTTTCGATTACTCCGAATAAATCGAATATTAAGGTAATTTTTCCGAAATTTACGGATTCTAAACGAGATAAATTCGTTAAATACGACGAATTATTCGCCGATATTTCGTATTATTTAATTATCGAAAATTTAGGCTATACGGAACCGAAAATAATAAAATAGGCATTAAAAAGCCTTAAAAAATGGAATTAGGCTATATACGCTAAATTACGGCAATTAATTTAGAAAAAGACTTTTTAAGCTATCGATCGAAATAAAATCCAAAAAGCCGGTAAAATCTT